GGTCAGAGGTAAACTTTACCAAGCCCTAGTTCGCAGGCAGTTTAAGAAAAGTTTGGTGTTCAGTATGACCGTGATACATGAATAAAGCGACTTTCAAGAAGTGTGATTTGGTTAAAAGAGAAATTATTTGAACCACCATCATAGTAACATCTGGGGAGTGATGCCTTCAGAACGCTCTACCCCAAGATATGGTCGGATGACCTCAGAAAGAAAACAGACCAGACTTTGTGTCGCTTTGCAGTCCGTGTGAAGGCTTCACCACTAATCCTGGAATCATTGGGTATCTGTTTCCAGCGCAAAGTCCTCTCGTATTCCGCCAAGTATTCAGAAGTATTCTCGCAGAAAGACTTGATCAGACTGTCAGTACTGGCCACTCGTTTATGCTAGGCTTCTTTCGCTTGTGGTCCTGTTAACACCGCACGCATCACCACCTAATATGTCGGAGGATGATCAGTTGAAGGAAGCATGTGAGGAACAGATCCACCTTTTCAAATCCTTTCGACTTGTGAAGATATTTCTTTCAGTACTGCCAACTTTGCAGATCAGAAGCGCTTTGGCAAAAAGCAGCTACTCTAACCAATTTCCCTTTCAACAGGGTGAGGAAGAGCGTAAGATTGAGAATTGTGAGGTGACTTCTGTGTGAATAATCTTCTAATCAAAAAAGGCAAACTCGATTAGATTTATGTGCGGGTACCCGTCTGAGAGGCATGTATTGCCTCCCTTCTGATGAAACCTTTGCCTAGCCTGACCGCAGAAAGACCCCATCGATGGAAAATGGGGCACTGAAGTATTTCAAAAAATGAACTTATAGCCGCGTGAGGCAAAGTGCAGCCTGGGAATGTTCACAGAACATAATGTGATTCACTAAGTTTAAGACATCCTAATGAATACGGCTATTTCGAATCATTTATACAGCAATCGTATACAAGGAAAGTGACCCAGCTTCGAAAATCAATCTGTTTTCTTTCTGGATAGGCCCTCTGCGAGCTTGATGAACATTAATTACAATTATTCAAGAAGTTCTTCAATCTATCTTTTGTCGAGTGTACCGGTACAGCTTACCAATTACTGAGAGTAGAATGAGTGAGATTCCAAAGCAAGAAAGTACTTCACTCGATACTGTACATAATCGCGAGGACTGAAATACATACGTTTGATGCGCATTCAGTAGTAGTCTTGATGGGGTTTATCGTGCAATAGCATCAACTTCGCTTTACTCAACCTTTCTTCGAATAAGAGGTTTTGCCCGCATCGAGCTACCATTTGTTGTGATGTGAGATTGTTTCCGATTGTTTGGGAATGTAATTTGTTTGGATTCTTTGAGTTCTCGTGGTTTCGAACTAAAGGACGAATTCACGATTGGAATGGAAGTCGAAGAAGAAGTAATCCACCTGGTTGAGGGACCTCCTTTGAGTGCGGACTGAAGCGCGATTGGCACCAAAGGAGTTGACCTCAGCGACTCATTTGGGGCTCAATTTTGGCGCGGTGGGCCAGTACACGCCCACCCACCAGCTGATCACTCGCCGCAGGTCCATGCGTAGCGACTTATCAGACAGCGGAGAGAGCGTAGTGTTGAACGAGGGCTTAAAGCGATGAGAGTCACATCAATGCGGGCAGATCAAAAACAGGGCAGGAAGGTACCATTTCTGCGGGTTCCTGCCGCCCGCTTTTCATGGTATCTTCCTCCTTTCTCTGTACACTCACTACTTCGGATTGATTTGAAATAGGTTTGTTTTTTTCATATATGAATTCCGTCCTTTGACAACCGCAATCCGTATCCATTGAAAAAGCTTAGTTGGAAATAGTTGCCGCAAACAGTCGGCAGAAATGCGAATGATTTCCTGTCTGCTTGCATGCTGCTTTTCTCACAATGAGGATCAACTTTCCGATTCGTTGCGCCTAAAATTCCTTGCCATCTAAGACGAGAGTGTAGGATAAATACATATCTAAAACACACCGCTGGTTGTTGCGTCCTTACGTCTGTGCTTGGAATGTGCATGGTCAGAATCTTGCTGCACATTATTGGCCACCAAGAGTGACCGCTCATAGAAGAATCACAACCCACATCCTGTCCCACTTACTGAATTCCGTAATAATCATTGTTTTCGTACCTCTTTCCTTTCTGCGCCTTGCTGTCTTCACCGTCGGCATTCAAACGTAGAGCGGACCAAATTGCGAGTATCGTGCAGCCCAAGAATTAGGAAACGTTCGGTGTTTGCGTGTCTTCCCCCCCCAACTTTCTTACTGTACTTTGTATTCCTTAGACCGTTCAAAGGGGAGCTGTGAATCCTTTCATAAGCAATTAATTTTCGACGGCTCCTTTCCTTTAATTACCTGGCTTCTGATTTTGTACCTCGCTACTCCCACTTTTTGACGCAATAACCACACCCAAGCTAGTGTGGAGTGTAATATGCCTTCAATTTCTGGTCGCGCTTTATTTTTCTTTTTTCTCTGTGACTCAAAGCGAGTGATGATTACTCTTAGATTATTGCTTCCGTGAATAACGGAGAGCAGTTTGCAGCGCAGAGATTGCGTAATCAGCGCGACTGAAAAGTGCGCCCCAGGAGGACTTGAGCTACACCACCTGGCTGCCTATCTCGATTGCTAGGCAGCCCCTTCAAGACGCGGTGTGTCTACGTCTCGCTTGCCGCTATGTTCCATCGTCTATTTCTCTTCCCTTTGTCGTTGTTGTCCACGCCGTGGGAAAAGCCCTTGAGTACAATGTTTCCTTTAAATATTTTTGATTTTCTTCTCTCATTGCGAACCCACCATATCTCTACTTTCTTTTTCAAGATTACACCATAACCGATCTTGGGGTGTGTTTTTAAATATTTTGTCGCGGCTGACAATGAAAGTAGAACATTTAAGTCATGCGCCTGCCTCCGGTATATTTCATGTACAGACCGTGCTCGAGGTTCAGTATCTTCCCAGTAGACAATAAGAAGATCACCGTGTCCTGTATCCTAACGCGGTTAGTCAACCTGACCACTTCATCGCTTTCCATGCTAAAGATTGTCCTATTTCTCTTCGAAAGTGGAGGTCCAAGTGGCAACAAATTCGGCAACCGCTCTATATTCGATTGTGAGCGTGGATGCATAAAAGCACTTGTTGAAGTAGTGCCAACCGGTTCCACTGCTTTATCTTGTTCGATTCCTCCTGTTCACCCATGCCATTATATTTTCCAGAACCTATCGGCGTTCAGATGGGGGTAATCACACCCGCTGCCGTTCATCTTCTGGACCCAGCTTCCTCCACATCACCGTTGGTCCATAAAATGTTATGGGGGGTGCTGCCATTCAAGCGCGGAAATAAATCGAAGTAGATAACCACAACCCATCAGGAATGAAGGATTCGTTCAAACAAAAAGCAAGATCATGTGCTATTATGATGCGTAGCGGGTTCGAAACCGGGTTGGAGGCGCTAAGCAAGCTCCTCCATAAAAAGCAGTAACGTACTACACTTAGAGTTAAATTTTGTGAAGGACTTCACATTTCGCATTTTTACACACGTAACTACTCGCTTCACACACACTTTTTTGTTTTAACCGAGGAAAGATAATTCGCAGTTATCGTGCTTCCGTAGCTCGGCGCACATAACCTGAGAGGGTAGGCTATACATACCCGGGTGGAGGATCCCCACTCATTCGTTGTTCCTTGAAGCTTTATTCTAATTCTTACACTTGGAGGGTATGAGTATATATCGATTCTTCCGGTCAGGCCAGGTCACCTCTGATTACAACAACTCCGAATAGTAGAAAATCAAAGACTAGTACACCTGAGCTACGCGATAGGCCTGAATACAAGCCAATGGGTAGCATAAGCCTAGACCCGAACCCAATTTTAGGCCTCAATCATCGCACAGCTCTGGAGCATTCATCGTGAACTGACAAAGGAGGTCTTTCAGGACATGGAGCGCTTTTCCAAGATGGTTTCCTGCATTTTGTAGAGACTCATGAGAGGAACCCAAAACCATGGACCTTTTTCCTGAGCGCTTTAGAAAGGTCAGAATAGTTGAGAAGTTCGATCCTGCGTGATGTCTAATTTTTGCAATTTATGTTGGCGCTCCCAAAGTGTGTCCGAATGGCATCAGCGTCGATTACTATGTCATCCTCGTAATTTGGCGACAATTTGGAGGCTTCAATATGGATTGCAAAAATTTATCATCACGGCGGATTGAACTCTGACTATTTCTTCACCACAGTTTTGAGGTTCTCAGAAGTGTTCGGGAAAAATGACAATAGTTCTATGTTCAGCCTTACATCATGAAAGATCATTTCGAAAAGCGCTCCAGACCTGAAAGACCTTCCTTGTGAGCGCCTTCCGAGATATGCTTCATCGGGCAAAAGTTGAATATCACCCTGAGGACAGGTCATCCCTGACAACTGCAATCCTTTGGGTACAGATATCTCCTGTTTGGTATGAAACCCTAACTGAGCTGTACGACTTTTCCTCCGTATAGTGCTGGGATAATGTTGCCTTATTTATGACAATAAAGCCGTAGATCGCACATGATTCAATAGCTGACGGTCCACGTGTCATGCCATAGATTCATTTGAAAGGCAGAATAGCGAAGGTGGAGATTAACGAGAAAAGCAGGATTAGGGAAGAAATGCCAGCAGCTTCTTGTCTCTATTGTGCTCCTTCTGTTATAAATTATAACGATTCGATCTCTGTATCTTTCTCGAATGGAACAAATTGCGCGTCGATTAGATTCTTGCAGTGTCGAGCTGTTGGTGAGAATAAGCTGACGACAAAATCAACACCACACTGCTGAACAGGATCGTCGCGGACGTTACGCAATAGATACAGGTGCTTCGGGGAGCGATTTCGGGACGTCGGAAGTCGACTGAAGAACGTTTCGAGGCGCAGCCACGGCGCTGGCGAGCCAATCTTTAGCTGCCGGAGCCAACTTGGGCTGAGGTGGTAACACGCACATCCACGCGTATTCCATTTGTTGATTTCTTGGATTCCAGATCATTTATTTGAAATGATACTGTAGCATATATCTTTTCGTTATTATTACTTGTCAATGCACAAATATCAGAGAAAGACTACTCACCATTGCTTGACGTGAGTTTTACTTAATACTTTTTTTAGCCCGGCTGAGAATTTTTAATAATTTATGGAACTTTTTATTTCCATTGAGCAGTCAATCAGATGTTGCTATTTCAGCAAAACACTTCGCCTTCCAATCCAGGCATATACTTGAGGTTAATGCCAACTGGGTTGGCTTATATGCGTGAGATCGGCATGAAGGTAGTGAATGAGCAGATAGTGAAGCTTTCGTTGCCAACGATCCGAGAGCGGATAGAAAACGGCGAGGTGAGTCTGTGAAGTTTTTCTTTTTCGAATCGCATTTCTCAACGTTTCCTAAACAATTCTGATCTTGTATCAGATGTTGTGGATATCTTGAACATTTTTTTTTCTATTCCCTTTGGTGACCAAGCCTTGGTACCTCTTTACCGTAACTGTTTCCCAGCGATGTTGCTCCACATATGCTAGACTTTTTTCTGCACCACAATGCCCACGCAAGATCGCTAGTGTTCAGTTTTTTCCCTCCACAGCAAATCTATAATCTATAGTTCCTCACAGCTCTGGTCACTCACATACATAGTCATAGATGTCGGATCTGGCCTTGACAAGTTTCCTTCTATCCCTTATTTGACTAGTTGGTGCCGAATCCTATTGAACAGAGAAATGGTTGAGGTGAGGTACACATTCAAGCCTAAGCGATCCCGAATTTGAGGGGTGTGAGGCAGATAGGAGGACGCGGCAGGTGCCAACCCCCTTGGAATTTATACTCGGTTGACGACCTAGGCCTCAGCTGCCAGTTGGAGATATTCCAACTGTGTTAAGTTGAGTAGAAGTTGCTGTTTTCATAATTTTTATTAGGTGCACTCCTAACTAATCATTGGAGTAATGGACCTTGGTAACACCATTGTGCTCATCCAAGCACCCCTTGGACCCTCTTTTGCACGACAATTCTGTCCTTTTCATGTTATCTCCTTCCTCTCCCGCATTCGCTAATCGTTGCGAACGGAGATGGGAGCTTCCTTATTCATCCATCGATCACGGCCGTTCCATTCGCGGCCAGCTTACTTGAGAAGAAAGAGCGAGTATGCAACGCTAACCCAGATACAGATTTTGAGCGCTACCACTTTGGTTGACGTTTGAGGCTATTTTGCCACCGTAGAAAGTGACAGTCAACGCTTTCATGAGATCCTTGTAAGATGAACTTGCGCCGAAGAAATCGAAACCATTTCCAGATTGATTCAGCCCAGATGAAGGGATAAAAAGATCAAGTTCCAGCGCGGTGGAACCGCATTATCACATGATGCGCACCCTTGCTAAATAGGGAACACAACAGCTATTGATCAAATGCATCAAAGAAATTCTGAATTAAAATCTGAGAATGACCTTAGCATAAGGGGGTTTGCGTGGTACTACCGCATTTTCTCTGCCTCGGTGTTCAATTGGGTGCACCCATTGACAGTATGAGCTGTGCACACGTTCTGCTCATGCGCAGTGTGGCTTCCTGCTGCCAGAGGGAAGCAAATCAGACAGCTTGTTCTACCAGAGGCATCGTCGACTTTGGATTTTTCGAATCACACATTGTTAGAATGGAAATTCCTATAGCTTACTGTGTATGCTAATTTCGTATCTTACGTTGGGGTTTCCAGCTTTCACTAGTATTCAGCGGAAATCTTCTTAGTGGAATTGCACTGCATCAGCAGCCCCAGCGAGGGGTGCAGATTTGAAATTTTGAGTCTACTTCACTGTTAGAGGCGCTTAAGTGATGAAAACTACTCCCATTTCCCTCCGTAATGAGTTCTTCAGAGCTGTAAATTTGCAGTCGAAATTTGGGGAGAGACCCATGTGCTAGGGCGTGTCACGCACGCTGCAAACGCAACACAAACATTCCCAGGTGGACTGCAAAATGGGGACTAATGTGCCTGTCGTGAGCATGTTAAGCGTTGTTTTCGAGGCTTTGTTTCAATTTGGAAGCTGAATTTTCATGCAGGGAAATTTCTACGCTATTTGATCATAAACGATTGCGAAAAGGGATACAATGAGTTTCCGGGCATCTTACGTTGGACGATACCTATTGCCTACCTACCTTAACTTATTTCGAAGTTCCAGAAGTAGTCCGCCTGTTCTTCCCATTAATGTTTTTAGGTCTATTTTACTGCTTTATCGTGTAGGTTTCTCAGGCGAGTTGGAAAGCCTTTGCGGATAAAAAGAGGCGGCCTGGATAGGTTGAAATGGGGAAGGCAGAGGCAGCGAAGGTAGACATAAGAGGGACGAGGTGAACGCTCAAAGTAGGACTGTAGCAGAGAGAACGTTAGCGTGCTGTAACGCGACACTCATATGGGCCATATTACTGCGGAAATCAGCACGAAAAGTTCCATTTCTTGGGTTCTGAGCTTCCTCTCTGGTTCCCACTTGTTTTCGCTCATACTTACACCATTGACCGCCTCCATCTCAGTTTTTATTGAGCTACCTTCGAATCCTGAGCCCCGCCTTCATCATAGGGACTTTACTTTAAGAGAATAGAATAGCAGCAGAATAGCGGCATTCTAAAGCAACGTGAGTCGGCAATTACACTCGTATCTATAGCTAGTAGTGGTCCTGGTCCTGAAAGAATTCTGAGCAAGTCTTTGTGTTTTCATTTCTTTTGTGGAGTTTACAAGCATGTACTCACAACTGCTGCTGCGCTTATCTGAATGGCGATCACGCAGGCTTTCTGTGGTTGTTGCTACCAAGGTCGTTTTACCCGGTCCTTTCCAATTCAACTAACAACACGCCGAAAAATGTTCACTTCTGTAGCGTTCAAGCAGAACGATGTATCATACTGATGTTTCAGTGGGCATTAGCTCACGGTCACAGCCTATGAACGCTGATTTGTAGGAGGTCCTGCTTTCGTGATGACCATACAGGAAGGGGCATAAATATGAGGACACAGTAGTTGTCGCTCAGTCCAGAACAGAAAGGTCTAAACGGAAGACCAAGTACCGCAACGTATGACCATATCTTTGCAAACAGCTGTTAATATTTCCTATTCAAAATGGCTGCCTATTAACTTTGCGATTTTCTTAGAACATGGAAAACGGAAATTGATCCGTGACCGCATGAGATCCTTCGGGAATTCATTCATTCCTTTCAAAGAACAGCTGTTAGTGATCCAATCTATGCTACTTCGGTCTCTTCATCAGCTTTAACACGTTGACGACAGCCCCTCATTCGTGCACCTCGGCAACTTTTTGTTTATTTTTTTTCACATCACCGTCATAACTTCTTCAATAACTCCACCACTGGTAATCGGCGCATAGTTTTTTTTGGATAAGATAACGCATGCACACAGGTCTAAAACATGAAAAGGCCAAATAAATCGACAAAAATCGAGCCATCGGGTGAAATTCTGATGTGCATGCGCGCCATGCTGTTGTCAACGTGTTAATAATGACCGCATTGTGTTATCTGCTACATTCAAGTCGAGGGTTCGGGCTATTCTATCTTTGTGCAGTCCAACGACAAACGGCTTTGCAACAGAAAAAAGGTCAAAAAAGTCAAAAAAGCCACAAAGTAAACCCATGGGCCTGCATGTCGCCTTGCAATTGGTTTCAGTCATTATGAGCACTATGAGTGACGGGAGTTTTCTCTAAAATCCTATCTTGAATAACGATTGGCTCGAGTTTTCACTCCCACACAAGTGAAATCGAACTGAGAGGAAAAAATCGCGATCTCTCAGGTTGAGTTTATGGCTAAGCTGAGAGGTTGTATTCGAATTGCGTTGATCCTGCTCTGCTGGCTCTCCGAAAGTCCTGTTGATCACTTCTGATTTTTTCGAGAGCAGGCTTGATCGTTCATGGGAAGTACCAGAGGATTTCTCGGGGCGTAACAAAAATGGATCAATCAACGTCGCAGGCTTGATGCTTTATTCAATTTTTCCAGGTATTCATCTATAATGCTCGTATCTCAAAGTACTGGCCACCTCAGGAGTATTCACTAGACCTCGTCGAGCCGAATATGTTCCAGTGGACCATGTCGAAGATGCATATCCGGTTTGTCAGCAGATTGCTTTTTTATTATTGTTCTATGGCGAAGCTGAAGATACAAGCTAATAAAGAAATAGAATGGGTTCAAAGGCGTCCTCATACAGTCAAGGAAGATGGCCTGTCATAATTTAAGTGGTTAGGGCGACCGCTTTCCGAAAGCTCTTCCACACTTTCTCTCAAGGTTGTCAGGTTGCCACTGGTTTGAGCTCAAAACAAGAAGGACTAGCAAACCTAGCCCGCTGAAGAGGCTTACAGGTGCATGAGTAACGACGAATGTCTAACGGACCGGTTTCGGTAACCAGAACTATTGAATACCCTTGAAAATAAATTCGTGCACGCGGGAATACTGACGAAGTATGAAAATGGGGAAACTAACGAGAGAGGGGAACTTTTTCTGGCTGTATGTCTCACGGATTCATAATACTATCGAAAGGTGCATAGTCGTGAAAGGTTTGAAGAATGTGCGAAAAAGTGCTTCACACCGATGTGCGTACCCGGTGATGCACATGGGCTGCAATGGGTTACATCGATCGCATAGGTTAAGGGATTCTTCTAAAGATGATGCGGAAAAAAATTTCAAATTTCAATACTTGGCCCAATTCGAGAACCCATATCGAGACTTTCCGAGTTGCCTTAGAGGCACAACCCACGCAGGGGTCGGGCGAACGATTTTCTTCGGTTCCGGTAGGATAGACCTTCACAGAGCAAACTAACATGTGGCACTTCCGTTCATGAAAGTCGCCCGACAACACCGCTAAGGCCTCGTAAAGGTCGCTTCAACCGCTCCAGTTTTCCTCGTCCGGTTCATTTACTGTTTGACGCTGTCTTTCAGAGCGTGGAGCGCTTTTTGGAAACGGGTTGTTTTTTGACATAGGGGTACCTGCGTCGTATAAAACTGACATCGTTTTTTTCTGAGCGGCGCAAGGGCAGAAATTTTTTCTTAGGAAGTGCAACATTCACATAAATAAACTCTCAATTTTGCGTTGACTATGTAGTAGCATACTGGAAGCATTATGTGTACTTCATAAAGAAATAGAAGCTTAATAAAGTGGTAATCAGAGAAATGCAAAAATTGTTCTTCATTGGGGATCAAACCACAAGCCCTTTTTCCACTTGTTTTTTTGGCGTTCCCCGAGCCGCTCAGAAAAATGACCTTCACTTTTATGCTCCCTACCGGTGTTTCTATAACATGCAAAAAAGCATTTTTAGAAAGCGCCCGATCTCCTGAGAGATTTTTCTGGTTAGTCTCCTCTCTGCGCTCAGTCTCTCATTGCCTGCCGTTGCCGTAGCTCTTGTTACAAATGTGTGCAAATCTTTAATATGAGTGTTTTCTACGGATTCGCTTCCTTTTTTCTTCACTGCCTGCCCATTTTTCATTACTTCCATATTCGTGTGCAAGAACCACAACAGTCTGATCCTGGGGCATGCCTTGATATCGTACGGTTTTCCCGCTCAAATGTGTCAGGTTTTCTTGTTGTCTTAGAGCTGCCATTGAATGAGAATTTGTAGATGTAGTTAATGGTCATTTTTCTCATCTCCATAATCCGTTGGTATTTTGGACTCCATGAATCTCGTTCTCAAAGGCTATACAACTATTGTTTATTTGTCCGGTGGATCCCCCCTTCGCTCGTTCACTCTCTTCCGCGGGCAATGTCTGATGTGTTATTTTGGTATTCAATTTCCAGAAAAAAAATTGGGGATGCTGTGCTCTATTTCGTTTCCTTATCTTTGAACTTTCGCTTTTATTCGCAAACACACTTGTACTAATAGTTGCTCAAGGTCTGCTACGTTTGATCAGCTCGACGTATTACTTTATTCCTTCCATGCTACCTGAACCGTTTATAAAATGGCTTGGAGCATGTACTGGATAAGCGTAAAGCTCCGTTTCGTTGATAAGTCATTGGAAGTGCTATCCAGGGCTTGCAACATGTTTTTGAACTTTTTGAGTGCGCACAGTACATTTGATTCAACGAGTGAAAAACAAAAACTTCAGAAAGCGAAAAGCGCAAATATTGGCCTGAATGGCCTCCTGAACAACCCTAATGAGGTTAGGGTTACCGCTGTTGTCCGCTGTAGAAATGCTGATTTAGGGCTGCAGGTGATTTCCAAGCATCCATTGTGAATCCACTGCTGCTTACGGTGCCAATTACTGGACATTTCGAGGCATTGCTCGGTCACGTCGCTCTTACAATATCAGTCCGACTAGAAAAGTAAGTTTTTAAGCTTCAGAGTACAATACGCATAATCGCCTACAGAGCGCCAACGCTTGGCAAACCCAGCGTTCTTTCTTGGAACTCTTTAATACTTGGCTTTAGAAATTTGAGGAATTCCTGTTACTGGAGGGTTCGTAGCCGAAAACCGTTAAAACTCCTAAGCGGCCAGGCAGTACATTTTTCAGTGAAGAGCGAGAAATAGATTTCGGGAACTGGTCCCGGTAGAAGGCGGACTATATTCATAATGGTCCTCTAATGATGGTACGTTCAGTTACAGCTTATGAGACTTGAAGTAGAGATGTCGGCTCATCATCAATATTTAGCACCTTTCATTGACCGTATCTGCCAAGGCTTGCAACTTAAATAAGGAGAAAGGGTTAAGTTTCCGACATTGATCACTCTTTTTCTGTGATGAGCTACGTATTCTACTTCCATTCAGAATCGTAGCGACATTTGGGCGCGGTACGGCCTATACAATGACTTGTGTTGGTCAACTAGTGTACAAACAGAGGTTTTTTGAACTTCCAGACAAGTCTAGTGCCAATTGACTGGAACGCTTGGTTAACCCGGGGAAGGTTCGCTCCGAGTTTTGACCCTCTGCACGTGCGCATGAGAAGGGACGCCACTATATCACCTCGGCCCTTCTGAAACTGACGTTACGAAAGCTGAATTTCAACTTTTCGCACGAAGAGTTTACTTTTGATCGAATTTCCAAAACTGGTGGAGATTGATGCTACTGCAAAGAGACAAGAGTTCATTCTTAACTTGCAAGCATTGTGAACCACATTTCTTGATGACATCTGTATGAAAGCTTGTATTTTTGGGAGTACCATCGGATCACCTCAAGTGCGATCGGCGCTCTGCCAGTCGAGCATCGGTTATGTCGACCTGAATGTACGGAACACCGGTGTAATCACGGACTTTTTCATCAATGCCTTCAAAGGTGGCTTTTCACTTGCTGATAGAAACTGGTCATACGAGTTTATTTTTATCGCGGCTTAATGAACGAGTTTCAGCATTTCTTATTGCCCACTTCAAACCGCAAGTGGAACAGCGAATGTGCCGCATGATCGAAACGTTAATCAATCAGGACATGAATCAGCTGCTTAGCACTATGCCCCTCAAGGTAGCACTCACTTTTAATTAGCTTGTAAACTCAAGCAGAAACAGCATTCTGCTTGTTCCGGTCGCCAAGGAAGGCGTCTCACGGGCGTGTGCTGTAGGTGCAACTATAGAGAACGTCCTTTTATCCTATGAGGAAGAAAAGACCCTGAATATTGTGATTCAAACGCCTTGGGGGCTGCTTCAGAATAGGGTCAACCCCCTGGGATAACAGCATCTACAAAACTACATCAGTACGTTGGACAATGATGAAGCCAGCGGAATACGAATCAGGAAGGGAAAAGAGACAAGGGGGGACGACTGATGGTATCAAAATCATGTGTCAGAGAGCAGTATAGTTTTGAGAGGAGCCCGCATTGTTGATGTCACTAAATTGTCTAATTGGTAGCACACTTGTTTTAGGAAAATAATCACTGACTTATTCCAAATATAGCTTTTACGCAGCTGGGTGCTGAATAAAATTTAAGTGTGTCTGCACATTTTGAGTTTCCACCTGTCTCTCGTTTGATCCGATGGCTTTTTTTGGAGGGGAAATAAGTGTGTTTTTACGAAAAGCACTCGATGAAGCACCACTGGCTCGGAAGCGTAGAAGCAAAGCTTCTGTCGCCGAATCCAGAACTGCAGGAATGAGAGACATCTCAAAGAGTTGAGAAAGCAGGAAATGGTTTGCTCACGTAGAGCTGTTTCCAACGAACTCCGCTGTTATTTACATATCCTTCTTGTTTTTGAACCGCATTGGCCTGAATGTGTGTCTGTATGCACATATGTTCGTGTGCTGCTGAGTAAAATTCCGGTCATTCCACATGGTGCTGCAGTGGCAGCTGGAGGGCAGTGGAGGGAGGAGGGAAGGATGGAGAGAAAAGGCGAAAAATCTACCGTCCGACTTGGTCATGGCAATTCCCTCTATAATTAAACCTTTGCTGCACGCACGTAACTCCACGAGGTGTTGGTGTCACAATTGGAAAGGAGCCGAGACTTAAAGTTTACAAAGTTTACACAGGAAAGGAAGGTCCCGGCGGTTAACGGGGGACCAATGTGGTGATCAATAACACAGGCAAATGTATAGGCTCACCGGCATCATGCTTGGGAAATATAGAGAAGTTTGCTTTTTCTCAGCAGTGCCCGTCCACGCTTTGCGGTAGTGGTCCCTGCGACAAGTACCTTATGGGACGTTCTAACCCGTCTGAAGTCCTCAGCAGACCTGTCACCAAGAATTACTGTCTACCTCAGTTACTCTGGATCTAAGTGGAAGAAGGGGTGTTCGATGACCCCGACCACCTTGGAAAGGACTTCTTGGGGTTTTCTTCTACAATAGCTTCTTAAAAATTGCATCCATAAGTTTTTGATAATAGGCAGTATGTCGATGGTAATGATGATGCTATATTGGTTAATTGTTGATCGTGAAAAAAAAAGAGAGATTCGAAAAGAGGGCACATGGTCCTTTGTAACTAGCTAATATTCTTTCAAGTCTCTAGCCATCAAAAATTAGCGAGAAAGGAAATTACTGTGATAGACATTACTTCATATTCTTACAATTCCTCTTTCAGGTGCGAATCAACGAGAACAACCTGGATATTATTGGACAGACATTTGGGATAATCAAAGTAAGATTATTTTCTTCACAGATCGTCATTTTCTTCTTCACAACCTCCTAGCCTAGGCTTAAAGGCACGTATGCCGCAACTTACCCTTACACGTATACTTTTGCGGTGCTGCTACGTTTTGCTTCCTGATGACACAGAATTTATTCCTATCAGGCACATTTGCCCTTCACGAACGTTCACTTCATCAGTTTGCCTCGTATTTTCGTGCTTTTGCATATACAGTGCGTTCCAAAAGTATGTGGACACCCTAGAATCGATTCTCAGGAGTCAGCTAAAGGCTTTTTGTGTTATGAAACCTTCACCATTCAACTTCTAGTGGTCGATAACCTACAACAATATTTTCGGCAAAAAATTTCGTTCTAACTTAGCGAACTATTTTTCGTGGAAATTTTTTTCTTTGTATCAAAATTATGTGGACATCCTGAGGCAGATGAAGTTTTTGCATCGATTTCTTAACCTATTTTTACTTCTCCTTTCGTAACTTATTCTGGCATCATTCCTCTTCACGGCAAGCATTTTTCTGAAGAAGACCGAGCACAGAAATGGGATCCCCATGCTTCTGAACCTTCCTATTGCGAAATAGCACGTCAACCAGTCATGCGTCCTCGTAGGTTTGGAGAGAAATCCGAAATCCTGATAAGCTCTCGACCTTGACTGAGGGTTGTTCTCAATCGCCACTTGTTCAAAACAACAGAAGAATAGCCTTAACTTTCTCAAATTATTCTTTTCGTACTACTCGACTTTGCACATAAATGATCTTCCCGATCTTAAAAAAACCAATCGGTGTCTCATTCAATCAACTAACGCACACGACACGAAAGAACATGGAGAACGCTTTGTATGTGAATGCGGGTTCAGGTTGGCAAGGTTGGAATTCAAAAATTCGAAATCAAAAAAGGATCACAACATGATACTTTGAACACACACAGTCAGTACTTTCGTGGAAATGGTAAAATTAGTATAAAAGACTTTCTGCGGGAATTTTTTTCATATACCAACTCGACTGCCAGAAAGAAGCTTATCCCTTACTATCCGGGTGGGTCTTGAGGTTTTTGGAGAGACTTTGGTCGGACCCGCAAATGTGCTCGAAGAAACAATTCGGGAGATGTTCATCAAAGGTCTGGGGTGGTTCCAAAAGGAGACGGACATTGAAGTTTGGCTTAGTCTACAGTATACCTTAGCAATTTCTTCTCTTTTTTAGGATTATAGGTATTAACCTATCTATTGTAAGTAGTGGTGTTTTTTTTCTAGTTAGTGTTTGGACCCCCTGGTCAGATATTACTTGTTATCTTCTAATCTTATAACCTCAACATACTAGACTAATTCTGTTCCATCCCAGCCTCACTGAGGAGCCTCATGGGATTGACGGAATAAAGTGGTTCGTCTGAGTGGAGGCGAAACGAACCACTCTAAACTCTAACCACTAATTTAATACATTTTATTATCTTATCAATTGCCAACATGTCAGGGTAGACGACTAGGGTTCTAATGAGGTGCTTGAGTCCCGGCTACAACCTTTTTTCGAGAGTCATCGTCGTAAATCGCTTGTTTTGCAGGGAGGTCCCTGACATCATTCCATTTGGACAAATGCTAACGCACACGGCTTTGATTGGTAGGTAGACTAGCGTATTCCTCAGCTTCATATTTACTGAAGACGTAGAGGATTGTGATTTGCGGTCTCCACGTTATTGAACAAAAGAGTAATCATTCACCGTGACCTAGCACGTCGGTGAAATTTCTAGTTGGGAACAGGATCTGCAAGACCTGTATCCGACCCGGTTCATAGCATGCCAAACAGAATGGCTTCCAATTTACTAGAAAGTTTGGTAGGCCTATCGCCGATTTTAAAATTCTGAAGGATATTGCTTTTTTTCAAAAAGTGTCACATATATTTTCGATACAAGAAAAAATTTCGATGAAAAATAGTTCGCTAAGTTTAGACGAATCTTTTGCCGAAATGTCATTTGCAGGTTATCGACCACTAGGAGTTGAATGGTGAAGGTTTCATAACACAAAAAGCCTTTAGCTGACCGCTGAGAATCGATTCCAGGGTGTCCACATACTTTTGGTACGCACTGTATTCTCGTCATTAATCTACACAGAATGTTTCACAAGCAGTTGCTGTGAAAAATCGTGACGGTGCAACACTGTCCAAGGTTGAATCGATTCTCACATTCTCAACGAAACTCCTTCGAGCCACTGGCAGCTCAGGCGTCCTGATGAGTACTGTGTAGTGAATTTCTAAAGTTTTTTTTTGCAACTGTGGCACCGGAGCACGAAACGTGAATATTGAGTACGCTGCCGCAATGCAGCTTGCTCTCGCTTGCAATCGACGGCCAGTACTCGGCGGCTGTCTTTAACAAGACCGCTTGCCCATTTTTCTGTTCCTCCCTGTTTTCTCCACTGTTCTACTTGTTAGGCAATTCCACCGTAGAAGTGTTGCATCCACAGGTTCGGCCGATAGGTGGTGCTGTAGCTATTTGATTTGCGGACTGTGGAAATTTGTTCACTGTCCACAGTGCTTAATCCTGCCAGTTTGGCGAAATGCAATAACTTCGCTGATCATTTAGACCGCTCATTTTAACGCAGAGCACTCTATTGACCTCTATTGTACCTATTTCAGCCGAAAAGCAAGATACTACAGCAGAGCATGAAGAATTTCACGTTGATTCATTTTGTGCAAAACCTTCGCGAGAAGAACCTCTTCCTCGACTACCAGCTCACTTCTGATCCGTTCGTACAGAGTGGCGCCATCGCAATGTTGGCTAAAGGTGAAATCTCATGGTACGTTTGTGATTTCCACCCTCCCTGGTGCGCTCCATGAATCATCATGAAATTGGTGAAATAAACACTATGGCCAAAGTTCGTCCACAGAATGGTGAAGTACGCATGATGCCTTCGCAGTGGGTCGACAACCGCAGGTCCACGCCGCGATTTTTGAATAAAGATAGAACCCAAACTACGCAGTGGTGCAACTGCAACGCACGCAACTTGTTTAATAATTGATAAGGCATCCAGTCAGTCTCATTTCGTTGCGGGTTAGGTCCACTTCTGTTCGTTCTTGCTTCTAAAAACTTATGGAGAATGAGGGTCATTCACACTTGCGGTATAGTAACGATGCTGTCTTACTCTTGGATTGTAGTTTCACGGAAGGGCGTACACCACTACTGCATAGGTCATTTTCAAATCAACAATTACTACAATTATGCACAGAGAAGCAGAGAGAAGAGAGATCTCGAGACTGTATAACTTACACGTAGGAATGCGGCGCGCACTGGTTTCCCACTGTCGAACGATCGCTTTTTTGAATAAGCCTGAGGCACCAATCAGAAAACCATTTTTAGCTTTTTGTTTGAGTTTCACAAGTGGCGCAGATCTAGTTTTGTCAGTTAAATCATCTGCGGTCAGAGGCAGCGATAGCGATAATTTGAATGGACCGACGTGCAAACTGCTTAAGGTCTCACATGTGGGACGTCCCACTTTCGCTGTTAAAAGCAGTCAAAGTCAAATTCTGAGTTGAGCCTAAGTCTAAGAGGGGAGTTTAATGAGCAACTACAACATACGGAAAACCATTTCGAAAAAGAGCTCCCTGTCTTGAAAGATCTCCCTTGTAAGGTCAACAGTCATCTCACCAGCAGCTCAAAGAATTTGCGGACCCTTTCCCTCCCTGTATCAGAACGCTTGGGTCTCTCCACTGGCACCAGCCGTCGACCTGTTACTCACAACGCACTCAATTTATCACGATCTCTCCGATTGACTACTTACCCATACACGTTATTGAAAAAAGTTCTTTAGGCGCGGTAACGGCGGCACACCATTCTTCCCGCCCAACATTCGAGTACCCCTTCCTCATGGTAGGTTCATGAGAACTCTCTATGATATGCACAGTAGGAATACACAGCGTCGGAGTGTCGTTTTCATTGCATTTTTGCAGGTGTCCATATGGTCGAATTTTACGCATCAGACTATCTAGCGAATTCGATGTTGTACCATGTTTACAAGCAACACCTTCTGGACGTGATCGTCGGTCCCGAAAGCAGTCCGCAACTGGAGGTGCCAACTTTTTGATTTCGCTTTTTTTGCCTATCGAAGATCTCAAGCATGGGCTAGGCAGAAAGCAATCCATGTGAGCAGTCTGCTTATATGCACCATCTTGAAACATTCCTTGAAAGCCTCACAATCTAATTCACTAAGATTGCTAACTTTGGTCGGGATGTTTGGGTAAGGGCCATTCAAGAGAACAACAGAATTGAGCTGCATGGCACAGAATATTTGAATTCACGCGGATTAAAAATTGTCTTCTGTTTTCAGGACCTTCTCATGACGTCTTGTGGAACTGGGTTTTGCATTGGTGAATTTCTTGGCGCACTCAGTGAGCAGTTTCCGAATCGGCAGGTCGAGGTGGCGTTCACGGCTAGAAAGGTATTCGCCTTTCTGTTTATGGTTTTTCATTAACGTCCTCGTCTTAAAGGACCCTATCAGCTTCTGTCGCTAGCGAGCTCAAACTTCACCTATTGTTCTTTTACTGTGAATTTTTTTACTTTGAATTCCCAAGTAATCTTGATTAATCGGCGTGACAGTTTAGAGCAGAGGGAGTGAATAGAGGAAACCTTCTATGATAGGATGAAGTAAGCACACGAAGCCAGACTCCCTTGGGTTTTAAAATGTTCCTGCCACGTCGATGGAGTTGAGCTCGTGGGTTCCTTGTGAAAGAAATTAGTGCGAGTGTGTTGAATGGAATCGCTGTGATAGTAGGTGGTAATTTTAGTTTTAGGTAAGATCTAAAAGGCTTCATCCTGAAGTATTGGTTCCCTTGATCTCAATCTGGTTATTTTTCGCTATCTGCTATTAGCTTTTCCTATGTCAAACAGGCGATAGTGTCGTTATAGAACGGTTTTGGACTTGAAGCTATTAATTTATTCATCTTTTGCTCAATCGTATTTCGAAATACACGTGCTTACCGGCTGTGCTTCATTGATCTGAACAAATGATGATCAAGCTATGTCTGACTGCTGCGCTGCTGGTCGAACGACAGAAGCAACAGTGCTTTCTCGAGAGTTTAACGAAAACTGACACCGCTCTGAGCCAACGTCTGGCTTTTTAGTTTGGTCTTCCAATAACCGCTACACATTTCCACAGCAGTAGATGTAGTGAGTCAGAAATTATGATATTGGCCCAACTAGTAGAAATAGATTTTTTTATTTTCTCCAAAGTATAGCGTACGGAAACTACGATTTCATCTCTTCCACGGATCGCTGCCTTGAGACCAATCGCTACAATAAGAACGAACTTAATAAAAATTGTACTTCTTTGGATAAGCAAACCGAGAAAAGAGAAAGATGTCATCCGTTTTACCCCCTCGCTACTGTTGCAAAGGTTAGAGACGGAACGCTTCTCTTTTGAAATGCTGTCACTAGGGAATTTTTGGCAGTAGCACTTCAACGTCCTAATCTATTGCTCCAAAACCGTTTGTTTCTATTCTTTCAATTCGAAGCATTCAATTCATCTAATCCTTCACCAACAAATACGTGGCAACGTACTTCGTTCCACTGACTCCTCAGGTGTCCGTGTACAAAGTGTGACTTTCAAAGGATTGTTTCCTCTCAAAAATAGACTCGCATGCATGAAACTTCACCATTTCATCTAGTGTTTCAAATAACGCTTAATTCAAAAATATTAAGGAACCAGTTTTCGCACTGGAAGGCTATTCAGAAAAAAGCCTAATTTTGAAGGCTGAGAGAAGTTGATGACTTGGTGCCTGGGATTGTCCAGAAGATTTGCGTTCCTTTTTAAAATGTCTCCCATTCTTGGAAGGTCTTCCATCGGGTTTTGTAAGATTCAGTGCAAGTCGGCGCTATGATTGATTCAGTAACTGGTTAGTATAAGGCCACTTTTCAGGCGCCACTGATCGTATTCGTTGAGAATCGTGCAAGATTCAGACTCCACGGAAGGATGAACATGTTTGTGAGACCGGGCAATGCGACGCAAGTCAAGGAGATGGTGAGCGAAGATCATGATCAATTACAGCTAACAGTATTATCGCTCGAGAGAAAAGCGCTGTAGTAGCGCTGGATGAATAGCCTAACTCTTGTTTTTTACCTACTAGATTACCTCTTAAAAAACAGTCACTGTAAATTTTCAGAATTTCTATTCACACAAAAAACTGGAGTACCACAGGGAAAAAATGTTAGCCCTTTGTTAGCCGATCTTACATTATCATATTTCGAATACGTCTATTCAGCGAATCATAACAACACAAAATACCTATTAGTAAAACCCTTCATAAATATTGAAATGAGCAAAAAATATGCATAGATGTATAACAAAACAAATCATTTTAATTTCTCTATCAAACGATTTCCTAATTCAACCACGAATATTTCATGCAATATTAAACATAATACAATATATTCAAAAATCCTGAGAATAGCGTGAACCTGCACAAACGAAAACGATTTCATAAATAGATGAGAACATACTAAAAACAATTAGACGAATCAGGATATAACACAGATATATTTATTATCAGCCTCATGAGATGCATAATAAAAAATGCCTTTATAAAACAAAATATGAATAAAACTAGAACAAATTAGTCGAATTTTTCCGTAAAACTCGACGGTCTTTGAAAATAAAGTGACTCCCCAACAATGAAGGAATGATGAAGCCTGATAAAATTCTAACACGTTATACATATCATGGAAACACTTTCATTTATTCGTATGAAACGACGCTGGGAGGCAGTTATATTTTAAGAGAAAAACGTTATATTTTATTCTATTTTATTGGGTTGATCCATAATTTCTGGCCGAATTTCAATGCTTTGATTCCTTCAAGTTTTCTCTTTCCTTAAAAACGATTGATCAAAAAAGTAACCACCATCATAATCATTGATAAGCATCCACTTGCTAGGGAGCGAATGGATGCATTCCTCCCAGAATGAATGGAGCTGTGGAATGAAAAGTTCGGAGAGGTCGTTTTTGGGGTGGTTGCATTTACTGACTGTTTTCTTTCCAAGCTGCTGCTTCAGAGAGCTGAGGAGGTGATAGTACGATGGAGTAATGTCAGTGCTATATGGCAGACGTGGTGCCGTGGTCCAGCCAGTTTCCTTCGAAACGTGGCGAGTTATCTTTGCAATGTGATTTCGGGCAGTCCTTTGGAGAAAGGAGATTTCAGGAGGTTTCAAACCGTTCTCCCGCACTGCTGTAGCCAACTTCGGGAGATATTCCATGGTCACCTTCGCAATGCTTGTCTAAATAAAGTGAAATGGTTCTCAAAACAGGATACCCAGCGAATCCAACGAACCGGTGGTTAAATCATCTATTGAGAGAGCTCATGCTTTGGTCGAGATGGTGAGTCCAGGTTGCGAGGTAGCCACAAGGTATGCAGTGTGTTGTTATCGTGGTGGACTCATGACTCATCTGCACTAGTGACCAACTAGGGAACGTCGCTCTATATGGTCGAAGAATCAAACTTCTGCAGATGGTCAGGCGTGCCTCTCGAACATGATCAGTTGATGCCTGCTGTTTCCATCGAGGCTCCATTCTACTACAACCCCTTTCGCTCAGGTATCGACTCATGGAGCATAGGCTGCGTACAGGTGTTTGCTAAAGTATCCTGCCAATAGCGTCAGGATGCACTTCCTATTCATTGCGCTGACTGGAGGTTGGTCATGAGGTCAAACTTTGCAGCTCCTATCTCACTTGCCGATGCTATTGAGCCAATAGCTCCGTGCTCCAACAGTAGCAAAGACTAGGGCAAACGCAGCGCTGATCTTGCCCAGCGCTCCTTGCAAGGTTCTTCCTGAAATTGTCATAAGGCATAATGGTTGGGTTTGGTCGTTGATCTCTATTGATTCCTACTTAAATATCCCGTTGCGCATTTGAGCTTCTGAAACATGCTGGTTGAAGGTCCTTATGTGTTCTACAACATATCAACTTATTTCGATGTGAAGTCAATTTGACATAGTGAAAATTGAATTTGAACCAAAATCGGCCAGAAATTATGGATCAACCCAATATACCTTATTTCTATGGAAAAATGGGTAAGTGAGCATTTCTTGTAAAAAATGGACGGGTAAACATCTCTTATTGTAAATTCTTACTGTAAATAAGTTAAAATTAGGACAAATACATTAATTTCTATTTTTTATAATATAAGTAAATATTCAAAGTCTATTCAATCGCTTACAAAAAATCAAGAAAAGTTTAATTTAAACTTGATTACCTACTCTGAAAAGTTAATTCCAATTGAACTCTTTGTCCTCCCTTCCCTTACTAATGAGCACAGAGGGAGGAGAGTTAACTTGTTTAGTCTCCATCTAAGGGTCACGTTCGAAACGGAGACTGAACGACTTCTTTGTTCACCACCCCTCTAAATAAATATTAACCAACACATAGAATAATGTTCAATTTTGAATAAGATCATTATCAGGGTAATAATAAAATTAGTTCGATTCAACTTGTTTTATTGCAAACATAATAACTTCATTGCTACTCACATGAGGAACTTGTTCTTCCTTGTATTTGTCTCATGTAGAAGAGGGATCCAACCTTGTGAAAAGACAGGCGGATCCTCTAAGAGTGACTACTCGGGAATGATATGCCCCGCCGACATAGCATGACTCCCGCGGCGCTATCGGCATTGACCGGCTAACCACCTGCCGCAGGTCTCTAGCCGTTCAGCAGAGAAAGAGCGTTAGCACTGAAGAGGGCAGCAGCGATGGGATTCGCACAGATACGGCAATCGACGGTTAAGGAATTGGTTCCATTTTTTCGGGTTCTTCTCCACTTCCCATGGTTTTTCTCAATCCCGGTACCACTGGGCACCTCTACCTTATTCCATTGGGCTGCCTTCTGTCGTGAACTCTACCTTCAATCCGTAATGATGAAGGTATCAGTTAAGTGTATAGGGAGTATAGGCCACCTGAGCAAATACTTTTTGTGTGAACCCTGAATGAGTCTGAATCGTTTGCAGGTGATACGCTCAGATACCACGATGACGGCCAATGTGATCATGTGGATCAATGGCACACGGATCATTGGAAACGCAACAATTGAAAATCTCGATTTCAGACTGCTTGAAACAAAGGTAGGTCAGTTTCGAAATGACTGTGTAGATAGTTGGTAAGCAGAATTATTGTTAAATAGCAAGCGAATGTGATTCAATAGTGAAATAACTTTTATGTGAATGCCGGGAGGCCAAATATGAGGTAAGGCCAATAAGGCCAAGAACTGTGCACTTGAAGAGACCCAGTATTAAGTGCGCTCGCAAAGCATCATTTTTTGCTATTGGAAGTGCTTGAAGAAGTACGAAAAATCTTCACTCTTAGCCATCCAGCCTCTTCACACAGTGTCCTGCCAAGCGGACTTGCTGGAAGATTGCATCGGCGAAGTCTACGAGGCGCAGCAAAGCCTGGCATTGCAGTGGTGCCCTCAACACCTCAGAAGGGAAGACGCTTGAGAATGCGCTGACAAGCGTCCAGGTATGGAGACTGGCCCGCTACCCTAACCAAGAACGAGCGGGCGGGCATGCGATGGTCATCGATCACCCGAAGAATAAAAAGTATAACTTTTAGAACCTAATTGTCAACGTGACGAATGAGATGTGCGCGCAGAGTGCTAAGTTGCAGGTTCACGGTTGGGGAGATAATGCGTCGCACAAACTTCATGTCGCCAGGGATAACTATGGATAGTTCGATAACGCAAACAAAGAGTAGGCATAGTGCAAAATATGAACACACATAAGAAAGGAAATACAAGTAAGGTATTTATATTGTGTAAAGAAGTTAGGACTATCCTCCTCGCTTGTGCCATCTCTGTGGCTTCGAAGGTGTCCAATTGTATCAAACCATAGAGAGCGTCCAGGACGCCGAGTCATCCAGGAACCAGCACGCGACACGCTCCCTCCCCGCTTCAAGTCGAACAACCTACAGGTCATGGGGGTTGTACCTTAGGTTGCCTATTGGTTAGGTGTATTGCTACACTCGCCACGGTCGCTAGCCGCGAAGCTACACGAATAGCCGGCTTCTTTGGAAGCTGGACCCCAGGACTGCCATCTAACTCTCGATGCAGCTACTAAGTCAGCCCTTTCAAGCTCTCGGAAAAATATGTTTCAAGAGTTCTCGCTCCGTCGTTCGCTACACTTCGGCTGTCAAGTATGACTTTTATTCGGCCGCTTCCGCTCTCGGCACAGACTCGCCATCTGGGGTCATCGAACATTGGCCGCTACTGCGTACTTCGCCACTGAACTAGTGCTCATCACTTTCACTTTCCTAGAAGACACCTCGTCCAGGAATCCTTCACGAAAAAAGTACGGTTCTACTTCAGCTATAAATCACGGTTGAGGACCATTATCCAAGATAAGAAAGAAAAGAACAGAAAAATTGTATTGTTTCGGTGCAAAACCCAGAAAACCGGAAAGGCTGCCACAAGTTCAAAGCACCGCCACAAATTCGGCACAAATGCTGGCGACGGGAATGCTTCCACTTGGTTTTTGGAGTGCATTCACTAGAACCGCTTTCCGGCCTTTTGACTTACTGCACTCACATCTCCCACTTCTACTCTATCCTGTTTTATCGACCGATTTGTCTTTACTCTCTAAAATCGCACGCTTTAATCCGATCTTTTCATTGCGACGTCTGATACGTAGCAGCCCCAGGACGGACTTCTTCCCATGCCCCGCTTTGGCTCGCGCCTTTACCTTCCATTGTTCATAGAGTGTAGTTTTTATTTATCTATTTATTTGCTTACTATTGCACTCAAAGTGCGCCTAAGAAATCGAACCGGCTTGGTACAAGTACACAGTTGTCTGCTAGATAAATTCTTATTCAACACACGCCTACACTCCGTTGGAAAACTATACGGCATACCCCAAATTTCGGGTTTCTGGACTTACGAGAAACTGAGCACGAAAATGGCTAATGCCATTCGATTCAGCGTGTAAAGAAACCCACAGTAGAGAATCTTCAAACAGATTAGTCAAATTCCAGAAATCTAGGATCAAAAAATTGAAAAAACGGCCGTTGCAAAATTACACGACATAGCAGAAATTTTGACAATTTTTTTTTACCTCACTAAAATTATTCCGGACTACTCCACAGTCGTAATAGCACTGTATTGTAGGTGAGCAGGCCACGGATTCGCCGTAAGACGCTTTCACCCGGAGGAGCTTATCCGACATGTTATCTGCCAATTTTTGTATGCCTAATCCTAGATACGTGCGTATTTTTTGAGTAGCTTCTTCTGCAGGAGATGCATGGAATTTTGCCGATTCTTCCAGGAACAAACACTATAGGCAGGATTGCCCCATGACTTTTCCATCGGATTTAGACCTTGTTAAAAAGTAGACCATCCGAGTGAATCTTCATGGTAGGCTACAAAGCAAGTGCAAGCCAGCTCAGCAACATGAGGAAAGCTAACAGATTTACCGAACACGATAATGTGCTCTGACACCACCGGCTATCGTCTACGACGCAGAATCGTCATCATCGGCATACTTCTTAGCACTACAATGCGGTTACAGATGTTCGAGCCGACCTCAACTCGCATTGTAGCCTACCATGAAGATTCACTCGGATGGTCTACTTTTTAGCAAGGTCTAAATCCGATGGAAAAGTCATGGGGCATTCCTGCCCATAGTGTCTGTTCCTGGAGAAATCGGCATAATACATCTCCTGCAGAAGATGCCACTGGCAGATAACATGTCAGATAAGCTCCTCAGGGTGAAAGGATCTAACGGCGAATCCGTGGCCTGCTCACCTACAATACAGTGCTATTACGACTGTGGAGTAGTCCGGAATAATTTTAGTGAGGTAAAAAAAATTGCCAAAATTCTGCTATATCGTATGATTTTGCGACGGCCGTTTTTTCAATTTTTTGATCCTAGATTTCTGACTATCCGTTTGAAGATTCTCTAATGTGGGTTTCTTCACATGCTGAATCGAAGGGCATTAGCCATTTTCGTGCTCAGTTTCTCGTAATCCAGAAACCCAAAATTTGGGGATGTCGTATAGTTTTGCAACGGAGTGTAGATTAGCGACCGCGACCTAACTATTATAAATACATAGAATGGAAAATAATGGATGTGTCAGCATTAGTGACCTTTAAAAACGAATGTGAATGAGAAGCTCCTCGAGAAATTCACCACCACCTAAGTATTGATGGATATAATGAAATGATGCAAGATCATCCTACTTACTATAAAGCGCTTCGTCTGTCGTCTGTCGTCTGTCGTCTGTCGTCTTTCGTCTGTCGTCTGTCGTCTGTCGTCTGTCGTCTGCGTCTGTCTGTCGTCTGTCGTCTGTCGCCTGTCGTCTGTATGTCTGTCACAAAATTCCCTAGCTCCCGGGAATTCACCTGGAGAGACCGGTGCAAGTGTGGGTTGGGTGGCCCAGGTCTCGAGAAGTATAAAATACACATCAGCTAAGCGCAGCCCCGCCCACAGTGGGCGTGGCGTGCGTGGGAAGTGTACTGACGACCAAGATTTTTAATTCTCTTAGAAAACAGCCTCGAAACTGGGAGTAGGGTGAGGTGTGTAGTGGTAAGTCTGATCGAATCAAAGAGATCCACCCCCGGAGATTCTCCTAAAAAGCAGTGCTTAACAAAAGGATTGATAACTTGGTTGGAGAAAAGCCTACAGAGCAGAAAACAAATTGGTGTAGGGGAGCAATGTCTAAGGTGTTCCCAGCATACAAGACGCCGGCGGAAGCCTACCTATAGTGGGCGGGGCGTGCGCTGAAGAGTACAGCGTTTTCTACAAGTCAACATAATCCAAGCCGGGGTAGTCTAGAAGTGCCGGAAAAAGGTGGATGGAGGTGGGTGGAGGAGTGAAAGCTACCTGTAATCGGCGGGCGGGGCATGACCAAAGTGGGAGGAGTTTGCGACGGAAATCTATAACTCGGCTCCAAGATGTCCCGGAGATCGGGAAAAGGTGGATGGAAGTGGCTGGAAGAGCGAAGGCTACCTGTCATCGGTGGGCGGGGTTTGCGACGAGAATCCATAACTCGGCTTCAAGACGTTTCGGAGACTGGGAAAAAGGCGGATGGAGGTGGGTGGAGAGAAGGAGTTCGATTACCCTTGGCAGTCAGTGTTGCATCAAAGTGGGCGGAGTTTGCCACGAAAATTCACAACATGGCTCCGTGAAGTCCCAGAAACTGGGAAAAAAGTGGTGGAGGTCTGCGATGGAAGCAAGGGTAACTGCTGTAAGTGGGCGGGGCATGGCCAAAGTGGGCGGGGTTTTCGACGGAAGTACATAACTCGGTCCCAAGAAGTCCCGATACCGGGAACATAATGGAAAGAGTTGGGTGAAGGAGTGGAGGTCAACTGTCTTGGTAGGCAGAGCATGACTGAAGTGAGGGGAGCTCGGCTGCAAAACTAAAAGTCGGTTCAGAGATCGTCCTCAAACCGAAAAAAGGTGGATAGAAAATAGCGAGGGGAGAGAATTCAATCTTCATTGGTGATCTGGGTATGACCTAAGTGAGCTGGGTTTCTTGCCAGACCTATAAAGTGGTTCCACGAAGCTCTAGGAACTGGGAATAAAGTAGATGGAGGCCGGCAAAGGGAGGGAAGTCAATTTTTATTTGTGGTTGGATGCACTAAAGTGGCCGCGTTAGCTGCCAAGCATATAGATTGCACAGGGTCAGTTCAGAGGCCGGGGAAAACGGAAGCTATTAGCAAGGAAGAAGAAGATGGGTGGGACATGCACCGAAATAGGCTGAGTTCATGACGAGATAAATAAATCGGTCCAGAGGCAGTCCGGAGACTGGGAAAAAGCGGTTAATAGTTGCGAAGAAGGAGAGGTCAAGATCTAATAATTATGGAGCGGATAGAACCTAGCTCAGAAGTCAAATACTCGTTGTTTGTCGGGCCACATTGAGAATTTACGCCGCACCATCCCATATCGCCGCAGAACTGTGTTGCGCGCGCAACGCCTGCTGCGCCAACTGGTAACATTATTATTTTTTATAATTTTGTTTTTCTCTTTGGAAGCCGAACCTTCATGCGTGAAACTTTTTGTGTTCTTTCCAGTGATCACAGCTGACACATTCATGTGGAGAAAGAATGCAAGAATTTTGGGCTGATGATTCCTTCAAGCTCTAGTAGTGATCTAGCTTACCGCCTCATGACCCACTTTCTACCTCACTGAGTATTGTTTTTCTGTTCTTATTTGAACACTACGAGCTACAGGTTAGAGTTAACCTCGGCATGATGTAGCTTGTTGATATTTTCTTTGGAGCTCTTCACGAGGTTGGCAAATAAATTGGGTTAACATTTCGGCGGGATCGCCTTCTTCAGGACCTGATAGTGGCGAAACAATTCATGACTACCCGACAAAACGCTCAGCATTCCCACTGAAGATTGAAATCAGAGAATTCATCACGTAATCCGAAGGTGGTCCACCTACCGTGACACATTCCGGTCCTCGAGACCGCCCAGAGACCAGCAGGAAGGCGATCGGACTGTCTCAATTCAGAGTCACTGGTGGAAGGCCACCCTTATGTAGGGCCTCAGTTCCCGCGTCATTGTGAGGCATTCTTCCTTCCGGTTCATTTGAGGACTGGTGACTTGGAACAAAAATGCCTCCAGGGTATTCCGTGCGGAGATCTGCGTTTCCCGCGCAGACCCTCGCACATCTTGACCGTGACCTCGTAATCTTTCCCGTCATGCATTTGAACCCTTGGGCCCTGAAGCGGTCAACAAGCGTGACCACTTCTTGCCTTCCAAGTGCTCCTTCATTCGAACATGAAGCGGTCTTGCCGTTTCGCCGATATTTCCGCTCCACACCTGCGACAAGTGATCTTATGTATAGTGGGTGTATCGAAGTCAATTTGTGATTGTTTCCGACCCAATGCTGAAGCTACCTTACAGAAGAAGTTTGATGACCTTTGCAGTTCATCACGGCTTTAGAGAGGGGGGCGTTGTGTATCGTAACCAGTCGGGCTTCCGCAGACCAAGCAACCAGCACGACAGCGCGATAGGGCTCCTCTGGATCCAGAGTCACCTTATTGGAAGCCTTCCTCTTATCCGAGTACGCGCGGTCAGTACTGGAGCTAGGCCCTAGTTTCTCACCATCTCAGCCCATCTCCACATTCGTCATGCGCCAAATCATATGTGACCTGCATGAGCCTGAAAATCGACTCAGTTATAAAGCCAAGGTCGACAGCGGTTTCTCCTTACCTGTTCGGACTACTGATTGAACGTTCCCTTTTCTCCGACGTATGTATTACAAACAACGGAAGCCCAGCCTTTTCCGATATCAGCTTCTGAATTATTGCTGATGAAGTGTTCGAAGTGCTCAGTAGGTCTCAGCAACACCACATGCCGCTGAACATCACGAGAGCAGGCCTACCGTCTCACGCAGCTGCAAGACTTGATAAAGTTTCGCACTATGAAGTTGTCCGGTGGCGATAAAGGAGGGATTTTATAGTAATCCCCGATCAACTGGACATCGCCATAACAGAACACCACCTGGCGTATACCTCTCTTTACCGACCATGCTCGATAAAGTTGTTCGAAACGCAGTCTCGGAGACTGAATCGTGTGTGGATTGTGGTGGCCAAGGCAACAGGGTTGGATTATCCTTGATGACACGTCTTAAAATCGAGTCCCATGTTGCCCAGTCCTGTACCTGCTAATGAAAACACAAGTTTTCAGCAGCAGAAGACTTGGCATTAACTGGTCCCACATCAGTAAAATTCGGCCCATCATCGGGTGCGTTGGTGGTCCCACAGACCAGATTGCATGGTTCTAGAACACCATCTTGGAGCTGCTGAAAGACATCCCATCCCAACTCACAGACACCAAATGTTCCTGGACCATCTTCGCGCACTGCAGCCGAGCACTGCTTGCGTCGTGGAATCATACGAAGTGAAGGCCCTCTATTTCTCCTGCAATGGAAGCCGTAGTTGAGCTTCTAAACCAGCACAATGGCGACATCAACATGCGTGGACTATCTGTCAGTCAGCTGATGGCACTACTGAATAAGTGTCTAAACTGAAACATCTTCAGGTTATTAGCGAGGTATTTTTCGCAAAGCAGGGCCTTGCTATGAGTCAACGGCAGGCGCCTACATTGACCATAGACTTTGTTTTTTTTTTCAAGATAGAAGCGATCAATCCGGCCCCCACGTCTTTAACGAGACGTAAGAGCTTCCTCCATTTTGCAAGACGACCAGAGATTTCTCCTATTTAACAATAAGACTAATAGGACAGACGACTACTAGGAAGCGGAAAGCCTGGCAGAGTTAGAAACCGAAATATGTGGCCATCAGTTATAATGCCATAAATAAATGGAGGATGTGGATGATGAATGGAATCCACAGATTCGAGAGCCCAAGAGGACGGCTGGACCGACACTGTAGTGACGAGTGACGAGTTGGCGAATGGCGCGCGATTCGAAGGCGCAGGCTATCAGAGTCTTGAGACGCTCAATATCGGCGCGAAGTTCAATAGGGTATTTCGTTCTGCCTCTTCTCAGCACTTGTCTTAGAGCACCTTTACTCGAGTCGCGGCGCAAGTCACTATACGCCGTTCTAAATGTCTTTGTGCATATTCCAAGTTTCAGAGGCAAGCGCGGCCTTAAACTGGTGTCTCTGTATAGAGCATTTCAAATGGATAGCTGCGGAGTGGACTGGAAATGGAATAGAAAGCAAAAAACCGTTGCAAAATCTCGGATCAAGAGCCACTTCCACTAAGGCTGTATGTGGTACAGCCTTAGTGGAAGTGTGGAGAGACAAAACGACCGGGGAGTCAAAACGCGCGAGAGAGCGCACCGTCCAAGAGGGCACGCTGACCTCCACATCAGTGCGGTAGTTGGGAAGGGCTTCAATCGGTGATGATGGTTGGTTGATAAAGTCCTTAACGATTGGAGAACTAATCGTTAATTTTATGAGACTAAGCTGATACGACGTCTGTGTGTAGGTGAAAATTCAACTCATTTCGTAAGTGCTGCAGCCAATTTGGCCAAAGCTACGACCATTGTCGTCAAAGTTGCAGCTCATTCTGTATTTCTCCCATCCCAATTCTTTAACCTTGCAACCAGCTTCGTCCTTACAAACTCCAATTAGTCATTCTTGGAAGCAATTTTGTCCCAACCTTGTCAGTCAATATCGCAAAAAACTCTCTGAACTTGAGTGGAGTTATTTGAGCGCTGCCACTTCGAAATTGCACGCGACTATTATATTCTTTTTTTGGCATTATCGTTCCTTGGCATAATCAATCTAACCGGTGGAGGCACGGACGTGCAGGAATAAACGACAATGGCGCCAGCGCCAAGAATGAATATCATATTCGTGCCAAGGGTTCGAATATCCCTAACACAAGTATACACATTCCGCTGGAAATGTGGCGAAAATGGCGCTAAAAGGCGCCGATCTGGCGTCAGATTGCGCCAGAAATTGGATGTCGTATTCGTGATCAAGACTCGCGATAACTCCTGTAGGATAAGTTTCAGAGAATCTTTGTGGATTGATAAGCTCGCTTTCAGTGAATACACTGGCCACGCGTTGTTAGACTTTGTGCTCTCAAATAGAAATACGATAAGTTTATTAAACAGCGATAAGCAAGATTCCTGCTCGACGTAAAGTCTTCGAGTTATCCTCAGCTGTACTAAGCGTTCAAGGCTGAAGTTATTGAGATATTGATGTGCCACGAAGGAAAGATGTTATCGAAATTGAATTCTGAAAAGATATGATTCAGCAGAAGAAATTAAATATTGTATTGAAGCTCCAAAGAGGTGAAAGTAGCCGAAGAACGACTTCTTGCTGTCTAGCGGTGAATTTATACCTGAAGACCTTTTAGTGATGATTCGTTGCTACACCCAAACATGGGAAGCGTGCCGTCAAAACATTAAAAATTGACTTTAGAATGACTAAAGTATGTTCTCCCGAGAGTACCAAAACAATCGCTATTTCTGCAAGAAGTCGACCGTTACTTTTGTTGACCTACCTTGAAACTTTTTCTTAGTAGCAGAGCTACACTCCCGCCAGGCTCATTCATTTTGCTTTGTCTTCATCTGTTGAAGTCTCTCCTGCACGTACCGAATACGGCCCATAATTCTTGAACTGGAGTCTGGAATGTTACAGAGAGCTCTGTGGTGGCCTCCATCGCAGGGTATCAGGAATTCGAGAGCTGTTCCCTTGACTTGAGCAGTACCAACATTCTTTCCAGTGTTCACAGTTCTTGAGACAGTATTGACAAAGCTCCTTTTCTGTGACAAAATTCCATCTATCATCGCCATTCCTTATCCATGTACACGAGTCGGAGAAGTGAAAATCTTGGCAAAATAGACATCTTATTGAGGAATTTTTTGTAGAAGCTGATTCTCCGAACTTTCTATGCGGTAGGAGCTTGAGTCCGTGTTGGAGTTCATCCAGTTCTCGTTCCAATTTTGAGATAACTTCTGCTTCCGTTTCTTGGTCGACTTGTTCTACCTCATTATTGGGGATTGGCGAAGTTGAAGCGTCTTTGGTTCTTTGTGAGGGTATTGACTGATTGTCCTCTTTGAGGTTGTCTTGAGTGATGGGGATGTCTTCTTCCATTGGGCAATCTTCTCCATCCTCTTCACTGCTTTCGTTCATGGTAGTTTCTCGTATGAGACTTCAGTAAGTATTCTTCATCTGTTAAGCCCTGCGCTTGTTTTTCTTGCGTATTGGATCCGTCATTGTCTTCTTGCATTTCTTGATTCTCTGAAGGTCTTGAAGAGTTTCTTAAATCATCTATTTGATTCTCCATCGCACTGATTTTATTCTTCACTTCTTTGAAAAAGGTCCTCTCGATCTCGAATCTTTTTTCAACTTGCTGAATATGCCATTCCATCTCGTCTATTTCCTTTCCGTATTGTATCAGCTGTCTTTCTGCTGACCTCGCCACGCTCTCTGATTTAATTGCACTGATTGACGAGCTGGATTTTGAGTACTTGTGTCTAAGCTGGTTTATTGAGTCGAGGAGAAGGAATTCAGTGGTTAAGCGGAGAAGTGTTTCTCTTGCTGTGATGGTATTCCGCAGTAGTCTGTTCATCATCGAAAATTGGTAGTCTATTGATCTGCTTGCTCCCACGTCTTGAAGGTTGTCTTCCCAAGCTTTTTTCAATGTCGTTGCCACTATTAGTTGGTCGTGGATCCTATGAACTGTTGAGGTTATTGTTTGTTCGACTCCTTGTATTGCAGGAGACTTGTGGAGAGAAGTGAAGTGCTTGAAGTATTCCGTGTAGTAGTTGGAGGATATCATCGTAGGTTTAACCTAAAAAGAGACATAACTTATGTACTAATTGAGACACCGGGGTTGAAGAAAAAATATTCGGCAATTTATTTTTTATTGTCTTTTATTATGCATTGAGCTATGAAGCTTGATTGTCCACTTCATTATTATTTTTAATAGTAATATCACTAATTTTGGTATGACTAGAAGGATCCATATTATCAATCGGGGTCCTAATATTGAGAATAGTATGCAGGTTATCCCTACTATTATGGCCAAACTTATTATAGTCCCTAATAGAGTTTTGTATTCTTCAAAAAAAATTCTTGTAATATGTGAAAAATCTGGCCACGAGAGTTCTGCATTTGGTGATGATTCGCCCTTGATCCATTTTGTGATAGGTTCGATTAGGGAACCAGTGAATTTTAGCGTGCCCCTGATCTCGAAAGTTGTGACCTTTTCTCCGCAGGAAGCTGTACAGTCTAGATAAATTCGAGCTTCATGTAAACTGAAGTGTAGCTTATCGTAGTGCCCTGTCTTATTGCATGGTATCGTGAATGGTAGTGAATTGCAAACTATTTCAGCAATCTTGTTGTCTTCCGATGAGAAGCAAACTACTTCCGCTTCTGCCCCTTTTGCACAACCATAACAACCCTTCAGTTCTTTAGGTGTTACTTCACAAACAGCGTCATCTACAAGAATATTGGAGACAAATGTGTCTTTGAAATTCATTATTATTTCTGACGTTACTTCTCTCGATATAACGGCTTGAACTTGAGATTGAAAATATTGTTGGAAGGTTAATGAGGGAAAAATCACAGGTAACTTGCTTCTGATATCATCGAATATCGCTTTTACAGAGAGTGTTCTACAATTGCAGTTGATGTGATTTTCGGCTGGTACGCATTTGCATTGGTCAAAAACTGGACATTTCATGGCCCTCGCCTGTGAATGTGTAGAGCATTGTAATGGGGGAAGTGTATCCGTTCTCCATACGGATGTATTTTTACCATCGGTTATAAAAAATGTATTGAGCAGCGGTATTGGGGGAATACCTATTGAACTAAGAGTGATCGTGAATGCCCCGATTTTTATTGGAACGTTTGGTCTTAAAAGAGTGTCAAATTTTTTGAACTTTTTTCGGGGTTTATTGTAATAGGTAATCTCTACGTTCACAGCTTCACGCCACCTGTTGCAGTGGAATATTTCGTAAACTTCATTGTTCAAAGGCTTGAGGTAAATGCGGTAAAAAAGACAGCCTGAACTCGGTAAAAAACAATCACATCCTAGTCCTCCACATGATTCTACGCACGCAGTATTGCCTGGATATTGATTACCTTCCGCTAGTTCGGGGATGATACTTGAAGAATTTACTGAGTAGCATTTTTGATCTTTGCACGAGCCCACTCGAGGACAACGTTTGCTGTCAATCACCCTATAAGTAGTGTGTCTTGTGAATAGATCATTTTCTGCTTCACAAGAAAGCAAAAGATACTTCCAACGGAGTTCAATTTCATGTATCGTTGTCTTATTATGTAAAAGCCGCAAACAGGCTTCTTGCTTGAAAGAGTTGATCTTGAATACTTCCGAAAGTTGGATTTGGCATTTTTCTTTAGTGTTTGTCTTACATACTGTTTGAAAATGGGGGAGAATGTTAACATCTTGGCACTGGCTTGATTTCATAATTAAAGATGATATTGTTAACGAAACTGCTATTATTTCTGCAAGCCTTCTTTTCTGTTGCGAACGCTTTGGTATTGGTTTATCTTTTCGAGTGGGGAGATATGAGTAAGTTAGCGTGCAACAGTTGAGTATTACCCCTAATACTTTACTAAGTAATTTTATTGGGTGTAAAAATGCCATCAAAATATATGAAAACAAGTAGCACATTAATGTAACTATATAAGCAGATACCGCTACTGTAACTATTGCGCTAGTTGGCCAACATTCGGGATTCAGTGCGTTAATCATGCAAATTGTACACTGAATTGATTGACAGAAGGAACCTGCTTGACACATTGTCTCGATGGTAGATTGGCTGGTCGAGATTTTCCATTGAACAAGGTGCTCATGCAATTTTATATCGGGTGGCAATGGAATTGTCTCGTTCGCCTTTGGATTTTTCATGTGGATGCAGTAGTTTTCCACACAAATTTCGTAAGGTGTCCTAGTTGGTAAGTATAATTCTACACCTGACTGGGTACACTTTATTGATTGTGTTATGTTTGCTGCATTCGATCCTCGAAATAAAGATAACAAATTCATCATAAGAAGGATCGTTGGAAGGTTAGGCGTAGTAAATATTGGTTGAATGTGTTGACTATTGGTCTCAAATTGATCCCTTTCATTGTCGTTCTCATTATAGTTTATCTTTCTTCGTTTCCGAAAGTTATATTGTGGTGTAGGATGGCTGTCCTCGAGGCTTGGTTCTTCAGGGTTTTGGTGTACTTTTTCGAGACATTCTTCTTGCTGTATGTCTTCGTCTTTTAGCTCGAGGGGGACGAGAAAATTGATCGGGCGCTTGATTAACCTTTGAGAACTTAAACGAATTATCGCTTCTCTTATTGTTCCCTTAGCGTTAGCCACTAGTTGTTCTATTAGCCCCATTTTCCATGAATGGCGGGGGATTACTGGGTCATATATCAGTACTGCCTTGCCTACCTTAGGTTCTTCAGAACAACCTTTCTTCGCTCCTACTTCGAGTGTATGTTTTTCTCGAAGGGCGGTAAGGTATTGAGACTGCCATACATTCCAAAAACGTTCTGTTATTTGACAGGATGTTTCTATTGCTTTTTGCGCTTGCTGTCGCGTTTGTATCAGGGCAAGTTCCTTTGAAGGAAGGTAGTCTTTATCTCTAGGATGCTCCAGGGGATACCCTATTGGATACGACAGTTGTATGTTCTTTTGTATGAAGTCTATTGGTCGGAGAATTTCATTTTTATTGATTTCATTGGTTACATAAGTTAGGGGTCGAGTATTGAGTAAAGCTTCAATTTCTGCCATAACAGTTGAAAGTTCTTCGAAAGACAAGGTGGATCGACCTATTGTTTTATAGAGAGAATGTTTCACGGACTTGATAAGTCTCTCGTAGAATCCTCCTTGCCAGGGAGCATAAGGTGTAATATGCCGCCATTCTATTTCCTTATTACTGATTTCTTTTGCTATTACGGCATCATTTTTTGCTGCTTGCAAACTTTCCCTGAGGATTTCTTCGCCAAGTATGAACGTTGGGGCGTTATCGCTGGTTATTGAAGCCGGAACTCCTTTTCTGGAGAAGAATCGACGGAGCATATGCAGAAATGCAACTGTGCTAAGATCGGAAACTACGTCTAGATGTATTAGTCTTGTTGTCATGCAAGTTATTATCGCTCCATAGCATTTTTGTTCAATGTCTTGCGATACTTTTATTGTGAGTGGTCCAAAGTAATCAAGCCCCACATGTTGAAAAGGATATGATTTAATAACCCTTTCTTTTGGAAGATCTTCTTGTGGTGGGTATTTAAAGGGAAGATTATTGAATCGTTGGCAACGGACACATTTTCGTATTAGACGTGTTACCTGAGCGCGTATCTGAGGAATCCAAAATTGTTGCCTTATTAGAGCAATTGTGTGATTTATACCGGGATGTCCTTTCTCATGAAATTCTCGTATAATTATTTCTGACAGGAATGTTTTTTGTAATACGAGAATTGGGTTTTTTGCGTCATAGTCCAATTCTGTCTGACCAAGACGGCCGAAACACCTTAGAATCCCATCATTATCAGGTCTTATATTGAGATGTTTCATTGAAGTCAAGATTTTGTTCTCCAATAATTTCGATTGGTGTTGACGGATTAGGAGTTTTCTAGCTTCGGCTAATTCCGGTCCACTTAATTCTTCCGGGATGTCAGTCTTGTTCAAATGTTTTGCTATTGAAAGTGTGATATTTCTCTCCTTATTCGTATTGACTTTATTTCGCAAGAGGTGAAGAAAACGTATGACATAGGCAACAATCCGTTTCGCCTTAATGAACGTTTTTGCTTGATGAGGTTGTATCAGTTCAAAGTCTTTGTCCTCTCGTTGAGTTTCTACTACGAGCATTTGGTTTGGTTGTTCATTGTCTTGGTTATCTATAGGCTCGCATGTAGAAGATTCCGAAAGCTTAAATATGCGAGTTTCTGTGGGCCAACTTGATTGAGGTAAAAGGAGGAAGGTAGGTCCTGTCCACCATAATTGGGATTCGAAATCTTTTTTCATGACACCTCTTGTGCCACAATCGGCTGGATTCAATTGAGATGGTATATGACCAAATTTAATGAAACAGTCGTATTGATCGAGGTTATTGGCAATACTTCTGATTTCCTGTAAACGGTGATGTATGAACGGTCCTAATTTTCGTTCGGGTGTTAACTTGAGCCAGTTTAACACTATCTCGGAATCGGAGAAAATATAAATTCCTCTGATATTTAAAAGTGTGTGCAATTGTTCGAATATAGAATTGGACAGTCGCATTGCCAGCGTTACTCCATTGAGTTCTAGCTTGGGTATTGTATAACTTCCTTGAAGTGATGGTAATTTCGATTTGGCCATTATTAATTGTGCGCCTCCCGAATGTACCAGGTATGAGCAGGCTGCCATTGCTCTTGAGCTGGCGTCTGCGAATGTTACTATATATGCTTCGGAGTGCTTGGTTGTTAGAAACCTAGGTATTGTTGTTTCAAACCCTTGAATATTTCTAATAATCTCTTCCCATTCTGCTTCTTTTTCTTTAGGTAATGTGTGTCCCAATCATACTGAAGTCGCCATAGATCTTGTAGGAAAACCTTAGTGGATGAAGAAGTGGGACCAACCACCCTAAAGGGTCGTATATTGAAGCTAAGGTACTAGTCACGATTCGTTTTGTGACTGACGGAGTTCTTTGAATTTTGCATGATATTCGAAAAGAATCTTCGGAGGTGTCCCATGTGATTCCCAATACTTTTGGGTTGGGTTCAGTAGACCGATCAGTCTCATTTATTGTTTCCTGTAGTGGTACACTATTGGTAGAATATTCCCGGAGATTCATATTGAGGTCTTTGAACATTTTCTTTGTTTTCTGGTATACGGTTATCGCGCCTTCTAGATCATCTGTTGTTAATATCAAATTATCTACATAAAGGTTATTTTTTATATCTTGAACCAGCTCCTTTTCTGATTCATAGGTACTAAGGTGATAATGGGTAGTTCCTGCCAGAAGGAATGGAGATGATTTGATGCCAAACGTTACTCTAGTAAATCTGAACGCCTGAATATTGTCCTTCCCTGGGGGTAATTTGTGATTACGAAGCCAGAGGCAACGTGTTGCATCTCTATCTTTTTCTTGTAATCTCACTTGAAGGAACGCCTTTTCCACGTCAGATATTATTGCTATTTTACCGATTCTAAAGCGTACTAAAATACCGTATAAGGATGGAAGTATGACTGGGCCTCTGTGAAGTACGTCATTTAGCGAGGGGCTACCCTTGTAATGTGCCGACGCGTCAAAGACAACTCGCAATTTGGTAGTATTTTTTGCGGGGTAAGTACTGGCTGGTGGGGAATATAGTGCACCTGGTTTTCTGTGACTATTTTTTCGTCGACTACTTCAATTATATTGAGATTTAGTTGTTCTTGGAATACATTATTGTATTGTTCCAAGAGTTTTTCATCTTTATTTATTGATGTCCACACACTTACTAGCCGTTTATATGCTAGCGTCCTATTGTCAGGGAGGTATGGATACCGTTCCAGCCATGGAAGCCTTACATAGTATCCGTCACTCCTTTGTTGAATTGTACTATTGAATTGTTCCCAAACTTTTTTGTCTAAATCTTCTTGAGCCTGTTTCTCGGAGCTGGTGAATTCTTCAGCTCCTGCAGCATCCATTCTCCAAAATGTATCCCACACTTCTTTTTCTTCTTCAGATATATTACAGTCGGTTGCAATAGTATAGATTTGGGTCTGATCCATTGACCAGTATTGGTCCCATTCCTTGATTTCCGCCGAATTGTGTTGGCACATTTGGTGAATATTTTGGTCTTCTGATCTAATTTTCCCAGATATGAGGTATCCCAATTTGGTTGGAAGGAGACATAATCCTGAGGGCAATTCTATTGTCGGTTTCTCATTTCGCATAAATGTCCACAGGTAGTCGCACCCCATAAGAATATATGGTTTAATTTTTCCTTTATTGTTGTCCCACGATAGCGGTATATTAAGGGATTGAATAAACTTAACATCCTCTGTTGGTAGCTGTGGTATATTGAGCGGTCTAGTGAGGACGTTGTATGTAAGTAACTCCATTAGATATGGGGTCTCGTCATTATCCCATGCTTCTAGGTAAACCTTCTTACTTCGAGTCTGCAATGCACTGGTTGACCCGAATGTATTCACGGAAATTTGTTTTTCTTCAATTACTGGAAGGTGAAGCCTTTCTGCTAGTGAGCTGTCTATAAAGGAGACTTCTGCTCCTGTGTCTATTAAGACACTGACCTTTTCTGTGGTATTGGTCTTGTGATTCAATACGGTGATTTCCCCGATTGGGAGGCAAGGTCCGTTATATTGTCTCACTGATTGTAGGTTAATAATCGGTTGATCTTGAAGAATTGGGGTTTCTTTTTCTGTGTCGTTTGACGTCAGTACAATATTGGAGCGAATCTTTGCGGGTGAATTTTTACTGTTATTCTGCGGCATGCTAACTATCGTTTTTCTATTTTCTTTGATGTTCTTGTTATTGCCTGGATTCCGGGTCTCTTGAGATGTTTTGTCATTGGTCTTGAAGCAACACGAGGTGTGGTGTGCTCCCTTACATATGAAGGCAGGCGCCCTTTGCACTGATTAACTATGATCTTGGCGAAGCGCAGATCAGGCAAGTTTATGTTGCCGCAGATACTGGCACTATCTTGAGGAGTTGAGAATTTAAAAACATCTTGATGATGGATGATTGCCTCTACATAAATGCAAGGGTAATTGACTGCTGTGTGAACGTTCTTTTTCTTGAAAAAATTGTGAGAATCTTTCTTGAAGATGAGTTCCTCTGCTGTGAATGTAGCAACATTTTTTCTGTTGAGAGGATCTCTCAATCACTGTTCAATACAACTTTGCATGGCGTGAATGGGATGGCAGAGGAACAAACCTGTTTTTGGCGATGATTTTATGTTTTGTAGAGTCTGGGAATTTCGATATGACTCTTTGATTAACCAACCTGTTGTTTCTTCCATTTTGTCTAGTTTGGGTATGATCGTTTGGAGTGTTCAAGAGAGACGCTGGTCTTTATATGACGCTGTCTTTAAATTACAGCTCTCTAATTTTCCACCAAATGTTGACCAGAAGTTCTTATGTTGTTATTTTTGAGAAGGAACTCTACAGCTTTTGAGTAATTATCTTTGTTACTTGAAATTCTTGATGATTCTTTTGCTTCTCCTTCTAGTGCACTAAGGAGGTAATTAAATTAAATCATCTCAGGAATTCCTGGAATTGATGTTGGTATTGAAATTCCCAAAAAATTGTCCATTACCATATGTTTCTTTAAACGTTGGATAGGAGGGGAGAGTTCCACATTCTTTGGTTCTTAGTTGGTTCGTTGAGGTAATGCGCTGGGTTCCCCACTGACCCGCTTCGGGCATTATCTGAAGTCTTTGCTTGCAAGATGATCAGATATATCATACGCTGTACTTAGTGCTATGTCACTTTTGTTTAATAATTTCTAAGCCTCATTCTTGTATTGGCTCTGCTGTAGGTATATGCCAATAATAAGCAAAATCATTCAGTGCTCCTGGACTTTGAATAATTTCCTATTCAAATACGCACTACATTCCTTCCTCAAGCCTATTGCTGATCTCAAGAAGTGCTTCACTAGACATACTAAAATCCCAAGCAGTTCATACAATGCCTCATGTTTTAAGGCTATTGATAATCATGCTCAAAGTTCTGACAGTGCATTGTCAAAGACGCTTCTTTGTGCTGATTGAGCCACAATATCTATACCTATTGGAGGATAGGCATTTATTTAGAGAATCCTAGCGATAAAAAATCGATTCAGCACGAAATTGCCAGAATAGAATTGATGAGCGTAATCGAAAAAGTATATGACGCGGTTATTGATGACAGTGACCAAAAGCTAACCGCATATTGAATTGTGTCGCTATTATCAAAGACATATAAACGACCCTGATCCTTTGTTAGCTCGTATGCCATCCAAATTGTGTTGAGAAAGCTCGCCTTTCAGTGAATACACTGGCCACGCGTTGTTAGACTTTGTGCTCTCAAATAGAAATACGATAAGTTTATTAAACAGCGATAAGCAAGATTCCTGCTCGACGTACAGTCTTCGAGTTATCCTCAGCTGTACTAAGCGTTCAAGCGTGAAGTTATTGAGATATTGATGTGCCACGAAGGAAGGATATTGATCGAAACTGAGTTCTGAAAAGATATGATTCAGCAGACGAAATTAAATATTGTATTGAAGCTCTAAAGAAGTGAAAGTAGCCGAAGAACGACTTCTTGCTGACTAGCGGTGAATTTATACCTGAAGCTTTGAGCGTCATTTGACGATGACTTATGTCTTTTCCCAAGACCTTTTAGTGATGATTCGTTGCTACACCCAAACATGGGAAGCGTGCCGTCAAAACATTAAAAATTGACTTTAGAATGACTAAAGTATGTTCTCCCGAGAGTACCAAAACAATCGCTATTTCTGCAAGAAGTCGACCGTTACTTTTGTTGACCTACCTTGAAACCTTTTCTTAGTAGCAGAGCTACAATCTTTTTTGGCGAAATTGTGTGCAAGGTTTACGAAGTTGCTTGCAAGAATGACGAATCGTGGCTTAGAATGACAAAACAGGTCGTATGTTTCACGAAATGGGATGGAAGAAACACGAGATAGGCTGCAGTTTACGAAAATTGTCGCAGCTTTGTCGAAATCGGCTGCAACGTCTACGAAATTGGCTGAAACGTTCACGAAAATAGCTGATAGGCTTGCGAAATTGGTGGCAGCGTTTACGAATATTTCTGCAAGGTTTATTGTGAGGAAAACCCTAAAATCATTTTTTCCTTTCAAATGCTTCTCTTTGGTGACGAGAAGTTCAACTTCCATGGTTCAGATGACAGTGTACCTTAGCAGACGAATACATAATTAGAAAGTTGATGATGTGCCTTCGTCGAGATTTTCGTAGTAGTTCGCTGAAGATGCATAATCTTATCTTGAGTTTCTCAGGCCTGGGTGAAATGAATTCAGCAGAGCACAGAAAACTCGCGGGAGATTCCATCCGTCTGCTTTCCTAATCGATGAATTCCTCGTAGGGTGTACCTTTTTGACAAGTGATTAACTCGCCATACGAGGGCTATGAAGTAGTTTTTGCAGTCAAACGAAGTGATTTCATCGAGGCCACCGGCAAGGTTTTTCCCTAATGATGGGGCACCAGGTTGTTTTGAGTATATAAAGGAAATCACGGTAGCATTTCTCGCTGTTTGGACGGTGCGGAGGAGCACCCTTTGAAATCTTTTAGAAGATAGCCAGATTTGAAGAATTTCAGACTTCGTCAGGCTCTGAAAGGGGATTTCTATGTTTTTGCAGCGATATTAGCAAGTATGAATGGAGTTGCTCAGGGCTTTGGCTGTGTAAGACACTGTAGAAGTGGATGGGGAACAGTATTGATATTCTTATCTTTCGAATAAACACACAAGTACTTCCGGAGGTCCAAAAGCTACCTAGTAGGTTGGAAGTAAATTTTTTTCAGCAACGTCATACATTGGGTTGTCGAGAAAATCCTGCGACACTTTGTCCAAGATTTTTTGATTACAGCTCTTTTGTTGAATGAACTATTGAATCAGCTAGATTATCATCGTTACAATACAGGAGACGAACACTTTTTCCGGTCAGCTTCCCAACTCTCTTACTTTAGGATTCCGATGTTTGCTTTGGAAATGAGCGATCAATCCCACTTTCGAGTTGACCTCAGTCATCGCATTTTTTACCTTCCAAAAGACGGTTTAGAGCATTAATTATCTTATGATTAAAAATGGGCAAGCCCGGTGGGTAAGCTAAACACTGCGAAATTTCTCACTTGAAATCCATAATCTTCCGATATGTAATCCTTTATCATATGCAGGTATGCGTGGGGGCGGGATAACACAATCTTGCGCATTTCTGGGTGAACTTTACGCATGGCTTCGACCATTTCACAAATAATAAGAGCCGAGAATGGTCATCACCGTAGTGCAAGTATCCAGTAGCTTTTTGTGAGCGATCAATTTGCAACCCCATCAAAAGCACTAAATACCCTTCTCTACAAAAGTTTCTGCAGGCAGCTTTACTCTCAATCGAGTCCAAAAGAGCTTATACGTACGGTTTCCTCAACGCTTGAGCTATTTTCGTTAGGCATCATATTTGTCAAGAGACTCCTTTGACGCGAAGAAAGGAGAAGAATTTCTATCATGGTCACACACTTCGCCTCCCCCGACTGGCGCAACCCATGTGGTACCCATTGTAAAAAAGGCACTGTCACCAAGAACGTAGGGATCCTCGATAACTGTCAGTTAGTGCAACTCGGCGTCATTGCTAACTCACGACTGGTAGCAATTGGCTGCGCTTCTGGGAAGTTGAGCAAATGCTCACCGTCCACCACCTACGGCCAACCAGAGCAGTGCTTTGCTTTGAGTCAAATATCTCCGGATGCGAAGCCTTAGAACCAACTGCGCCCTATGGCCTGCTGAGCGAGTCACCTCCTGAATACAGCACAGATGCTGGCTGCAACAGCTCAAGCAGAGTGGCTTCACAGGAGCTCGAGAAATAAAATATTGTCAAAAGATGACTCAGCTCAGAAAATTTTGGAGCTGCAAAACGTTGCTCGAATCCTTCATGTACGCCTCTGCTGGAACCTTTGAAGACACACTACAGTAATCAAATGGGAAATAAACGAATTTTGGTTTTTTCCTCACTAATTTGTTCAAAGTGTCGCAGGATTTTCTGGACAACCCAACACTTACGCAGTGCTCCCCTTTCGAGAATGCACACTGCTGTAATTTGCTTGACGAGTGAAAATAAAAAAAAATCTTCAGTGTGTGACTTTGATCCATCTATCTCTTGTTTTCTAGCTGGGTTGCTTTATCAATCAAGTGTGTTATTTGCTGAATAATTTCAGATCAATGATGTTGACCAAGCATCGTTCGGAGATCTCGGACTTTTTGGAGCTGAATTCCTGGAGAAGTTGCTGACTGAGATTCTGCAAATCGGTATCGTAATGCCTTCTATGCAGGGAGTTCAATTAAAGAGTCCTCGGTTAGTACTTATGACGTATTTTCATCTCGAGCCTGGTGACTTTTCCCTTCACCAACGGCCCCTATTGACTTCAGGCTGACATTCCATGAGCGCTACCTTCGAGTAGTGACGTACTTCAAGTTGGACGAATATTTCACTGGTGATCTCGTACAAACAGCTGTAAAGCAGACATTCAATCATGTCGGATGAGACAACACACCAAATTTCATTCCTAACAATAAGATGTCTCTCTGTGGAGTTCTCCGAGTGCTTTACTAATCAAGTCCAGCTTCTGCCAACAATCAGCCGAGCGGCGCTTGGCTTATTATGGATAGCTTTGCCAGGCCGGCTGAACAATTTCTAGGTCTACTTATCTAAAGAAATATCTAGGAACAGTTTGCTGCTGTGCTAACGTCGTCGTGCCGCTCTTGTTTGTTGGCAGATGCTCAAATATGAGTTTCAGTCTTTCATTTATCCACATTTCTCTTTGGAGAAATGCTTTCCTAGACTATTACATTTATTACGGGCGATAAAGTGAAATCAATCACTTACACAATATTTGTTCATATATAAACGAGTTTTCATTTTGTTGGAAAGTATGTCATTGTTACATTTTTCGCTCTTTTGTGGTGCTCCTTATCATTAAGGTCTTTCAATTTCTTCCCAGCTTTTCCAAGAAGGTTGTTGCATCAGATAGCTATGTACGCGAGCATGGATCATGGAACTATGCTTTGTTTCTCCTGAGGCGTCCTCAAAAATCCATGAAGGTTCATTTTTAAGTTCACTGAGCCTCTCCGAGCTTTAGTACTCAAGAAGGCTGACGATGCAGCTTTCTTCGCCTTCTTCAAAGCCTGAATGATCAAGGTTTAATTCATAGCCCGATTAAAGGGACGTAAGCAAACCAGCCCTTTTGGCACATCGGCTGGGACCGTATGCTGAATGTTGGGGAGGGGATGGGGTCCCCAACGGTCGACGGTTCACTTCAACTCGGTTGGTACGATAGGAGAGTACTGACGCAAGTGGTGCAGCTGGTCCAGTAGCTTCGCCAGAAGGACCGGTCTGCTCACCCTTGGACTAAGCCTAGGAGAGGGGACGGACCCGTCCTCTCTTCAAGGCTTAATTCTAAGGTAAACGCCAAATTGTGGCGGTTCTAAGGACCGCGTTGAAGTTGTCCGTCTACCGTCGGGGACACCATCCCCTCCCCAACATTCCCTCCACAACATTCAGATCACGCGTCCAGCCGAGGGTGCAAAAGGGCTGGTTTTGCTTACGTCGAGTAAAAGTGGTGTAGGGATTATGCCTTGCCAAAACACTTTTACGTGATGTTGTAAAGTTGGTAGTAAGTGAGCTCAGTAATGGATGCGAATTACCCACAATGCATCAGTATCCGTATGAGTAGTTTCTTATCCGAAAGTATGTCGAAGAGGTCGGCGCTTTATCTTTTTTTTTACATTTTGGGACTTAATGTGCCGCTCAGAGAAATGAACGATATTTCTGCTTTCCGCGTACGTGTCCCTACATCATTCATGAATTCGTTTTTTGGAGAGCGGGGAGCAAAAATGGATGACTTCCTGCTAGAACGGAGAAGGCACAGAGAGGGAACAAATGCGAAAGAACATAACAGACGACATCCCTTCGCTAGGACCAGAGCTTAAACCATGTTTGAATGTATTTCAATCACTACTGCATATATCAGTGTAACATCGAATAAATGCTTTCATTCCAAGAAAGATAAATAAGCAAATTCAATGATGGTGTCATCGAATAGAGGTAAGAAATACATTAGAGGTGAAGATGGTGGAAAAATGAAATGTTGCTCCACTAAATGAAGAGTGGTCCTACCTTTTCTGTCCACATACAGTAGTGCTAGTTGTAGTGTAAGTTCGGAAACCTTTTTGTCCTTGACCTAGCGGAGCCAGCGAAACAAAGAAATCGCTCGAATTTCAACTATTATACGCAAAATCAAATGTAGAAGTCGGTAAGTTGCACAACTTCGAAATACATTTCACGCTCGAAAAAATGAACAAATACGATTTTTTCAAAACATTTGGGAACTCCACTGTTCCACAGCGAACTCGTACAGCAGCTCTCGAATTCACATCAGAAGTTAGCAATTTGCTTAGTGAAAGTTACAAACATAACTATAAGCAAGCTGGTGAAATTTCAATTGGAGAGGCCACTCCATTGTGCTCTCCAAGGCTGAAGATAAGGGGTCGTATGGTATCCTTCCCAAAGGGAATGGGAGATGACATTCCCTTCTTAGTTTTCTCTGTCTTCCCATCTGGGATTGCCCTGAAAAAGGACCTACATTTAATGTATGTATGTAGGTAAAAGTAAACGTACACTGAAAATGAAGAAACTATGCCGTTCAATACAAATAAATTTAAAGGAAGCTTTGGATCTTTCAGCTTCGCGGAAGCATAGCATACGGCCCAAGAACAAATATAGCTGCTTATGATACGTAATCAACTCATTCAAAATAGACTTCTGCTTTCTGAAGTTTCGGTGCTTTCATATTTTAGCCTACAGCGATCCAAAGAAATCGTCGTGAACCAAGGAAATGGATATCCTTGCCTAGGCCAAGAATTGGGGGAGTCGCAGAATAGATGACCAAGCGCAAAAAAAAACTGTCTAGGATATGAACAGGACGTGCGAAACGGAGGATACTCACCAGTCCCTATCCAAGTACATTACAAATGAGCCTTTTAGATACTATCGTTCTTGTGTAAGAAAGTCCGGAGAAGTGCCCTCTAGCACTCTCCCCTCCCCAAACTCCATTTTCACCACAAGCGCTTTAGAGTAACGCGGCCGAGAGTCCCTCTTAATATGACAGACAATGCGAAGAGAATTGTCACCGGCTTAACAGGCCGTTGAGGGCAATGGTCCCGTCAAGGACCTGTCCTTGCTCACCTGCTGGCCAACCTTCTAGAGTGTTCCCGAAGAAGTGAGTGCGATGGCTCGGTGTCGGCACTGAATTGGAAAAGTGATTGGTCGGAAGAGGCTAAGAAGAGTTCTAATCCACCACAGCGGTTGGGATAGAGTTGAAAAGCGATCTCTCACCAGTGGGCTCACCGAATTAGCTCTACCTCCCGTGTTAATTGTCTTTCACCTACATTGGTTAGATTCCTCCCCTTCCTCCTCAGCTTGTTTAACTCTTTGCAGAGCTACCCTTCACGACAATGGCAGAGGTTACTACTTCTTGCTTTGATCGCCACTCTGTTATCTGCATTCAGAAAGCTTCAGTGACTCCACACTGAAGTCCATCTTGCAGGACCAACAAAGGAAATAATCCATTTTCAAACCCATTTGCTTCTATTTCACAATCAGCAAACCTTGAGAGCAGATCATGATAACATAGCGAATTCGAAAGGCTAGGCTTTCTCAAAATCATGGGCTGAAGCTGCGGCTCGAGACTCGAGTCATTCGCGCTTTTTCCACGGGTATAATTCTGAGAGAATTAATAGCTGTTCGTGAAACTAACAGCTGGAGTTTCGCCATCGCCAATCGCAGTTCTGACGTCACCTTAATTCGCATAGACAGCACAGAACACACAGCCTTTCTTTTGATGACATCATTCAGCTCACGCCTGAGTCATGAAGAAAGAGTAGTTAGTGGATCATTCTCGTCGCCAGGATACCCTGAGCAGTTCCGCTCAATTCTGTGTATAGTTCCGCAAAATAACCTTTCATCACCCTCAAGCACCACTATCTGCTCACATTTTTTGTTTACTGTATGATAACTGTTGTTTATCACGGAAACCTCCTTACTGATCATACTGGAACATGCTGATAATTCTCTGCATTGTGGCTTGCTAGACATTATGTGGATGTATAATATATATGAAAATCCTCCCATCCTTCGCTGGTTAACCAATGAGAAATAGCTGCTTCTTGCTGCATGTATTATGGTTTCCCCCGGACCGCCTGGAATTATTTCATTTTTAGTCTTCCATGCTGAGCTTTGCGGTTGGTACCAATGAAGTTCAAGGCAAAGTATTGAATCGAATTGGTGTATTACTGCAGCGAAAAGTGACTGTGCAGATGTAGTGGAACTCCAATAAAGAATGAAGAAGCGGAGCGAAGCCGTTAAAAAGGCAGAATGGAAAGGCCTCTTTTGTGGCAGCGAAGCAAGGCGGAATCTTTCCTCCATCATGACCCGTAGCACCCCAGTCTTGTTTAAATAGGGATCCAATTATATTCTAGGAGAAATTTGCTCCTTGAGTGAGGTATGGTCCCCTATCACACGGGCTGTGGAACTGTCGCGACATGAAGCCGCGCGAGAAGGTGGCTAATGCCTTCACTTTTCCGCTGCGACCGCTGCCATTGATCGCAGCAACGTGACGTCTATGCCCTATCGCGCACGACATACGCTCTTGCGTTTTCTCTCTTTATAGCACTGCCTCTCTCCACCATACCACCGTTGGGCTCGCAAGAGAAGCTCACTCACCATCTTTGGGGCACATAAACTCAAATACACACGCTTTTGTTCGACAGCACTGTGTACTCGGGTAAATTTATGCCCTCTGGAAATTTGTAGATTTTAAGGCAGAGATAGCCGAGTAGTTAAGAGCGTAGGCTCATGTCTGTACCTCTCAAAGCTCGAATTTGATCTCTGCCGAGGCTCAACCACGCCCTGCAGAAACCACGAAAACCGTTCCAGAATCAGCACCAGTATAGAATGACGGGCAACTGATGAGGACCTCGTCACAAGAAATGTGTTCAAATTTCACAGATGATTCACTGTTAGTGCTTGGAAGTCACCCAGTAGTGGGTCGCAGAACAGAAGCCCGATTTCAGCAGTGTGGAAAGGCTGCCAAGGAGTGAGAAACGTTGGCCTGAGAAGCAATTAAAAATGAACTCTGAAAGTGAAATGTCGCCAGGAAAATACGGGAGGTCGAACCCTACTATTAAGTTGTACCATAAGTGGTGTGGTTTTTTCGAATGAAAATTTTTGCCTAAAATCCCGGGCTCATACGATGGACCCTGCTCCCCAGATCCCCTCGGACCAACTCAGCAGGCTTTCAGCGAGGCTGCTAAAGTAACTCACGATACGACAAGGAGGTACCGGTTGAGACGCAGACGGAATGAGACAAGCCAGCATGGTTTTGGAGCGAGGAAGTCAGCGACTACAGAAGCAAGGACGAAACATGCAATCGCGGAAAGCACGGATTTCTGAGGAGCTCTGTCTACAAAAGCTGCAAGAGGCTTGCT